TCCTACTGTCACGCGTCTCCTTGCTACTGTTGTCACTGACGTCCTTGAGGACAGGCAGGAGGAGTTCCAGTGTCTGGCAGCTGCCTCACCTCATCTCGTGTCCGTACTGCTTACCCCTGAGGGAGACCCGGATGCACTTGACATCCCGACTCCGCGCTCTTACGCGGAGGCGATAGAGGGTCCCTACTCCTCTCAGTGGCAGGCAGCTATGGATGCAGAGATGGCTTCCTGGAAGTCCACAGGCACCTACGTTGACGCTGTCCCCCCTCCTGGGGCGAACATCGTCAGTGGCATGTGGATCTTCAGGGTGAAGCGGCCGCCGGGTTCTCCGCCTGTCTTCAAGGCGCGTTACGTGGCTCGTGGCTTCAGTCAGCGGCAGGGAGTTGACTACTTTCAGACCTTCTCCCCCACCCCGAAGATGACCACTCTTCGGGTACTGCTGCACGTTGCTGCTCACCGTGACTACGAGCTGCACTCTCTTGACTTCAGCACAGCTTTCTTGCAGGGCAGCCTGCACGAGGAGATCTGGCTGCGTCGCCCACCTGGCTTCACTGGGTCTTTCCCTCCTGGTACCCAGTGGAGTCTCCGGCGTCCAGTCTACGGTCTCCGCCAGGCGCCACGTGAGTGGCACGACACACTGAGGACTACGCTTGCGGCTCTTGGGTTTGCTCCTTCTACTGCCGACCCGTCGCTGTTTCTACGCACCGACACCTCTCTGCCGCCGTTCTACATCCTCGTGTACGTCGACGACTTGGTCTTTGCCACAGCTGACACTGCTGGACTCGCCTACGTGAAGTCCGAGCTGCAGAAGAGACACACGTGCACAGACCTGGGTGAACTGCGCAGCTACCTTGGCTTGCAGATCACCCGGGACAGAGCACGCCGCACCATTACCCTGACTCAGTCACACATGGTGCAGCAGGTCCTTCAGCGCTTCGGCTTCACGTACTCCTCGCCTCAGGCCACTCCTCTGTCTACTCGCCACTCGCTCTCAGCTCTGCCTTCGGATGAGTCCGTAGAGTCGAGTGGCCCGTACCCAGAGCTTGTTGGCTGCCTCATGTACCTGATGACCTGCACACGACCTGACCTTGCATACCCTCTTAGCATTCTTGCACGCTATGTTGCTCCTGGGAGACACAGACCAGAGCACATGGCTGCAGCGAAGAGGGTGTTGCGCTACTTGTGCAGTACGTCGGGCATGGGGCTAGTGCTTGGAGGGCGGAGTCCAGTGGTCCTCACTGGGCACGCGGACGCTTCTTGGGCTGACGACCAGGCTACGCAGCGGTCGTCACAGGGTTACACCTTCAGCCTTGGTTCCGGCTCTGTTTCGTGGCGGGCTACTCGCTCCTCTTCTGTTCTTGGCTCGAGTTGTGAGGCTGAGATCTACGCCGGGGCCATGGCTGCACAGGAGCTTCGCTGGCTCACCTACCTGCTGACCGACCTTGGAGAGCCGCCTCGTTCTCCTCCAGTCCTGTACGTAGACAACAAGGCCATGCTGGCCTTGTGTCGAGAGCAGCGACTGGAGCACAGAACAAAGCACATTGCTCTCCGCTACTTCCTTGCTCGTGAGCTACAGCAACGTGGACAGTTGCGGCTTGCGTACGTGGCCTCTGAGGCCAACACTGCTGATGTCTTCACCAAGGCACTTCCGCCTTGTGATCATCAGCGCTTCTGCACTCAGCTGGGTCTTGTGCCCGTCTTGCCTCACTTGCTCTCCTCTTGACCTTGCTTGTACTCTCACATATATATATACCTGCTCTTGCTTGTCTAGCTTTATATATATGTGTGTACTCTTGCATGTGAACTGGCCGTGTGGCCTTGACCCTGTGCTCGGACTGTGTGGTGACTTTGTGATCCACCCTGAGCTTTCCTTTGCTTTGCTTTGCTTGACTGGTCTTGTGACCCCTTGTTCTCCCCCACTTTGCCTATGGGGGTGTGTCAGAACATTGTAGCTTATGCTGTTATGTAGGCTATAGTGGGGTATCCCATAGGGGGTACAACCAATTAGGGTTTCATATTTGTACTCACTTCATTTCATAGTTCATCCATTCTCGTTCTCATTCTCACAAGCGGATCTCGAAGCAGTATTTAAAGTTTTAGAGGAACATCGGCTACTCACCAAGGGCTCTAAGTGCGAGTTTTTGTGGGACAGGCTAGAATTTTTGGGGCACGTTATTTCGGAGGCTGGAGTTGAAATCGACCCAAAGAAGCTGGATACGGTAAAAGCGTGGCGTCCCCCGACGAACATCACGGAACTGCAGAGTTTTTTAGGGTTCGTTAATTATGTTCGTCGGTTCGTTCCCGACATGGCACAATTGACCGCCCCGCTGACGGATTTACTGCGAAAGGGGGTCGTTTTTACGTGGGGGGAGAAAGAGCATGCTGCCTTCTCTGCCCTCAAAAATGTTCTCTGTTCACCGCCCGTCCTGCGCATCGCCGACCCACACCGCCCCTTCGAGGTTGTTACAGACGCAAGCGACATCGCCATTGGAGCCGTACTGCTACAGGACTTCGGCAACGGCCTACAGCCCATCGCATACGAGTCACGAAAATTGCATCCGCCCGAGCGAAATTACCCGATACACGACCGCGAAATGCTCGCGATCATGCATGCGTTCAAAGTGTGGCGCTGCTACTTGACCGGCGCAGACGTGACAGTACGGACAGACCACCGATCACTACAGTACCTCCGCGCACAGCCCCACCTCAACCCACGACAGATTCGGTGGCTCGATTTCCTCGAGTCAAACTTCCACTACACAGTCACCTATAAAAAAGGAGCCTCGAACATCGCCGACGCACTGACCCGCCCCACTGCCCAGATCCACGCGATACTACTCGCCCATACCAGCCCGCTACTGACAGGACTATTTACCCACGGATATCAAACGGACCCATTCTTCAGAGGAGGAAATTCGCAGCAGTTCGCAGCAGCCAAGGGAGTCTATTACGTAAAAGCCGGGACCGAGCGCATCTGGGTACCAGGGTACACACTGCTACGGGAATTACTACTACAGGAGGCACATGACGGGGTTACCTCGGGACATTTCGGGGTAGAGAAAACACGGCAGCAGCTGCAGCGGTATTATTACTGGCCCGAAATGTTGACCGACGTACAGCGTCACGTGGCATCGTGTCCCACTTGCCAGATCATGAAGTCAACACGGAAGCGGCCGGCGGGACAGTTGCAGCCAATCCCACCTCCAGAGCGTGCTTGGCAGCAGGTGACGATGGACTTCGTCACAGGGTTACCGGCCGGGGCGAGTGGAAATGACGCGATCCTGGTCGTCGTCGATCGACTGACGAAAATGGCACACTTCGCAGCCTGCAAAAAATCAATCACAGCCGAAGAAACAGCCCGCCTCTTCATCTCTACCGTCGTTCGACTGCACGGGATACCAGCATCAATCATCAGCGACAGAGACACGAAATTCACCAGTAACTTCTGGCGAAACCTGTGGCAGCAGTTCGGCACACGACTACAGTTTAGTTCATCGTACCATCCCGAAACAGACGGACAGACAGAACGGACAAATCAGACCATGGAACAGCTCATCCGGGCTACGTGCGACGACCCAAACACGTGGGAACAGCAACTGCCACTCATCGAATTCGCGTACAACAACGCCCCATCCGCCACGACCCAACAGTCACCGTTTTACCTGAATTACGGACAAGACCCAACAGTACCCATGACCCCGACTCCCGACAACCCGGTTCCACGCGCGCAACAGTTCGCCGAAATTTTGCAAGCAGCACGGACCAGGGCAGCAGACGCAATTAAAAAAGCTAACATCATCACTAAACGCAACGCCGACCGCCACCGCAGACCTGTCACTTACCAGCCCGACGACTTAGTTTTACTCGACACCCAAAATCTCCGACTGCCCATCACCCCGAAACTCCGCCCCCGATACTGCGGGCCATTTCGCATAAGCCACATGATAACACACGTCACCGCTCACCTCCTCCTCCCTGCTGACTGGTACGTCAGCCCCTCGTTCCACGTCAGCCTGCTTCGCCCCTACGTCCCGTCCACAAGCCAACTCCCACGCAATCGCCCAGCCAGCATGACACGACCGCCGACTGAACCAATCATCACCCCCGAAAAAATCCTGAGCCACAGAGTTCGTAACCCTCGAGGAGCCCGACGGATCGAGTTCTTACTCCGCTGTAAGGACCGTACACCCACCGAAGACAATTGGGTTCCCCTGGACAGAATCGAACACCACCCCGTCCTCACCGAGTATCTGCGCAGCCGGAATTTCAGGGATGTACACGCACTTTCGTAAGGAGGACCTCCTTAAGGGGGGGGGGGTAGTGTAAGGAAAATCTCCTTTTCCTTACTTCGCGTCCCTGCTCAACGCATACATCACTGTAGCACCACAGTCAGCACCGTTACCACTCGCAATCCTCGCATCGACAATCCGCCCGCCACCTTCGCACGTCGCACCCCGACCTCACGGCTCGGCGGGTAACCCGCGCTCCGGGCCTCCGCTTCGACACTTTTCCCAACCTCAGTCCCAGGCCCATCGCGCGACAACCACAGTCCATTACCGTTACCACTGTAGTTTCGCTATATATTCTTCGCTCATGCCTTCGCTCATTGGACTCTTGCTTCGATAGTGCAATTCTCGTTCGTTCACTCACTTGCACTCGTAACAATAACCAATGCAAATACATTCCCAGTCGTAACTGGCGCTCGCGTAGCTGGTTCGGGTTAAAACTCGCCCCGAACCACTGGCAAATCGCCACCGAACATTTCGCCACACTTCCGAACCTCGCTAGCCCGAGGTCATCGCCCAGTTCGACTCCGCTTATATAATCTTCGCTTATACAATCATACGGCTTCAGTAGCATTCCTCAGCTTTTTAGATTTGTGAAACACTAGCACGCACTCATGACGAATCACGTGTTTCGGCCTAGCCTACATTGCGTCGGGACACCATTCGACCAAACATTTGCTGGCTGGACTGGACTCGTAGGAGGACCTGCGTCCAATGGCACGTCTCGATAGCGATCGCGTCTGTGCGCGGCAGGCAGGCGACGAGACAGCGACGGACGGCGACGACACAGCGGCAGTCGACGGAGAAAAAGTAGACAGTAGGCGACGAGGGACGGTAGACGATGAGAGCGATAGTAGGCGATTCGCGAAAGACAGTTGACGACGAGAGCGATAGTAGGCGACGCGCGAAAGACAGTAGACGACGAAAGCTATATTAGGCGACGGGTGAAAGACAGCAGTCGACGAGAGCAAAGGTAGGTGGCGAGCGAAAGACAGTAGACGATGAGAGCGACAATAGGCGAGGGGCGATTGACAATGAACGATGAGAGCGATTGTAGGCGACGCGCGAAAGAAACTAGGCGACGAACGCGGGACCGTGGACGGCGAGAGCGATTCATTCCAATTCGCGAGGATGGAGAGCCGCGACAGCAGAGGCGCGCGGAGCAACGGCAATGGCGCGAGGAGCAGCATGTTGCTTCACGGCAATGGCGCGTGAGGCAAGCATTCGCGCGCAGGCGGGACTGTCGGCTGTGGCAGCGGCGCAAAACAAAACAGAAACGTCGCTGCGAACAGCAAAGGACGAAGTGGCAACGGTGGCGGCGACGCGAAGAGGCAGTAGATTGGGGTAGTAGTGATGGGGTATTAGTGATGGGCGGCCGCGTGGGCGGGGAAGGAGAGGCGGAGTGGGGAGGGGAGGTGCAGGGAGGGGAGGGGAGAGGGGGGATATGGCCGTGTGCCGTTTGGGCTTGGCGGAAATGCGGGGAGGAATGCGAAAAAGGGTAGCAGGGGGCGGAGCAAGAAAGCGGAGGAAGGGCATGCGGAGAGGTGGGGAAGGGTGGAAGATTTAAGCCAGGGGCTCCAGGGGGGGCGAGGCGTGCAGGGGCAGATAGAAGCGCCAGTGGGGGAACGGGGTGGCGCGGAGGGAAACGCGGGAGAGGGGCGGGCGCGGGTGAAGGCAGCAACGTGGGAGAGCATCTCTCCCATTCCCCATCCCCCTCCCACTCCCCCTCCCATGCCCCATCCCCCTCCCACTCCCCCTCCCATGCCCCATCCCCCTCCCACTCCCCCTCCCATGCCCCATCCCCCTCCCACTCCCCCTCCCATGCCCCATCCCCCTCCCACTCCCCCTCCCATGCCCCATCCCCCTCCCACTCCCCCTCCCATGCCCCATCCCCCTCCCACTCCCCCTCCCATGCCCCATCCCCCTCCCACTACCCCTCCCATGCCCCATCCCCCTCCCACTCCCCCTCCCACGCCCCATCCTCCTTCCACTCCCCCTCCCATGCCCCATCCCCCTCCCATTCCCCCTCCCAATACCCATCCCACTCCCACCCATCCTCAACCTCCTCATCCCCATCCTCCTCCGCTCCCCCCGGCCCATGGGAACAGGGAATGAGGGGCGCCACATGCTGGCACGGCTCAAGGAGGTCCCCCTACTCAGGGTTTCTTCCTTACCCACATCATTACAGAGCAGGGTGCAATGGGCGGCGGGTGCTAGCGGGGCTGTAGGAGGGGGGCAGGCGGGCAAGGTCAAAGAGACTCTCTCTCGTTTTTCACGCCCTCGTGCAGGGAGCAATGAGGCAGCGTGTGCTGGCAGGGCTTTAGGAGGTGAGGCAGGCGGAGCGCAGTGGCAGGGCCAAATGTGTGGTGCTGGCGCCTAACGTGGAGGAGGTGGCTGGGGCAGGTGAGGGGAGGGAGGGTGGTGATGATGGGGGTTGTGATGGTGGAGAGTAGTGCATCACCACACCCCTGAGAAATCAAGTGAGTGGTGCTGGGAAGTCAAGTGAGTGGTGCTGGGAAGTCAAGTGAGTGGTGCTGGGAAGTCAAGTGAGTGGTGCTGGGAAGTCAAGTGAGTGGTGCTGGGAAGTCAAGTGAGTGGTGCTGGGAAGTCAAGTGAGTGGTGCTGGGAAGTCAAGTGAGTGGTGCTGGGAAGTCAAGTGAGTGGTGCTGGGAAGTCAAGTGAGTGGTGCTGGGAAGTCAAGTGAGTGGTGCTGGGAAGTCAAGTGAGTGGTGCTGGGAAGTCAAGTGAGTGGTGCTGGGAAGTCAAGTGAGTGGTGCTGGGAAATCAAGTGAGTGGTGCTGGGAAGTCAAGTGAGTGGTGCGGGGAAGTCAAGCGAGTGGTGCTGGGAAGTCAAGCGAGTGGTGCTGGGAAGTCAAGTGAGTGGTGCTGGGAAGTCAAGTGAGTGGTGCTGGGAAGTCAAGTGAGTGGTGCTGGGAAGTCAAGTGAGTGGTGCTGGGAAGTCAAGTGAGTGGTGCTGGGAAATCAAGTGAGTGGTGCTGGGAAGTCAAGTGAGTGGTGCGGGGAAGTCAAGCGAGTGGTGCTGGGAAGTCAAGCGAGTGGTGCTGGGAAGTCAAGTGAGTGGTGCTGGGAAGTCAAGTGAGTGGTGCTGGGAAATCAAGTGAGTGGTGCTGGGAAGTCAAGTGAGTGGTGCGGGGAAGTCAAGCGAGTGGTGCTGGGAAGTCAAGCGAGTGGTGCTGGGAAGTCAAGTGAGTGGTGCTGGGAAGTCAAGTGAGTGGTGCTGGGAAATCAAGTGAGTGGTGCTGGGAAGTCAAGTGAGTGGTGCGGGGAAGTCAAGCGAGTGGTGCTGGGAAGTCAAGTGAGTGGTGCGGGGAAGTCAAGCGAGTGGTGCTGGGAAGTCAAGCGAGTGGTGCTGGGAAGTCAAGTGAGTGGTGCTGGGAAGTCAAGTGAGTGGTGCTGGGAAGTCAAGTGAGTGGTGCTGGGAAGTCAAGTGAGTGGTGCTGGGAAGTCAAGTGAGTGGTGCTGGGAAGTCAAGTGAGTGGTGCTGGGAAATCAAGTGAGTGGTGCTGGGAAGTCAAGTGAGTGGTGCGGGGAAGTCAAGCGAGTGGTGCTGGGAAGTCAAGCGAGTGGTGCTGGGAAGTCAAGTGAGTGGTGCTGGGAAGTCAAGTGAGTGGTGCTGGGAAGTCAAGTGAGTGGTGCTGGGAAGTCAAGTGAGTGGTGCGGGGAAGTCAAGCGAGTGGTGCTGGGAAGTCAAGTGAGTGGTGCTGGGAAGTCAAGTGAGTGGTGCTGGGAAGTCAAGCGAGTGGTGCTGGGAAGTCAAGTGAGTGGTGCTGGGAAGTCAAGTGAGTGGTGCTGGGAAGTCAAGTGAGTGGTGCTGGGAAGTCAAGTGAGTGGTGCGGGGAAGTCAAGCGAGTGGTGCTGGGAAGTCAAGTGAGTGGTGCTGGGAAGTCAAGTGAGTGGTGCTGGGAAGTCAAGCGAGTGGTGCGGGGAAGTCAAGTGAGTGGTGCTGGGAAGTCAAGCGAGTGGTGCTGGGAAGTCAAGCGAGTGGTGCTGGGAAGTCAAGTGAGTGGTGCTGGGAAGTCAAGTGAGTGGTGCTGGGAAGTCAAGTGAGTGGTGCTGGGAAGTCAAGTGAGTGGTGCGGGGAAGTCAAGCGAGTGGTGCTGGGAAGTCAAGTGAGTGGTGCTGGGAAGTCAAGTGAGTGGTGCTGGGAAGTCAAGTGAGTGGTGCTGGGAAGTCAAGTGAGTGGTGCTGGGAAGTCAAGCGAGTGGTGCGGGGAAGTCAAGTGAGTGGTGCTGGGAAGTCAAGTGAGTGGTGCTGGGAAGTCAAGTGAGTGGTGCTGGGAAGTCAAGTGAGTGGTGCTGGGAAGTCAAGTGAGTGGTGCGGGGAAGTCAAGCGAGTGGTGCTGGGAAGTCAAGTGAGTGGTGCTGGGAAGTCAAGTGAGTGGTGCTGGGAAGTCAAGTGAGTGGTGCTGGGAAGTCAAGTGAGTGGTGCGGGGAAGTCAAGCGAGTGGTGCGGGGAAGTCAAGTGAGTGGTGCTGGGAAGTCAAGCGAGTGGTGCTGGGAAGTCAAGCGAGTGGTGCTGGGAAGTCAAGTGAGTGGTGCTGGGAAGTCAAGTGAGTGGTGCTGGGAAGTCAAGTGAGTGGTGCTGGGAAGTCAAGCGAGTGGTGCTGGGAAGTCAAGTGAGTGGTGCTGGGAAGTCAAGTGAGTGGTGCTGGGAAGTCAAGTGAGTGGTGCTGGGAAGTCAAGTGAGTGGTGCGGGGAAGTCAAGCGAGTGGTGCTGGGAAGTCAAGTGAGTGGTGCTGGGAAGTCAAGTGAGTGGTGCTGGGAAGTCAAGCGAGTGGTGCGGGGAAGTCAAGTGAGTGGTGCTGGGAAGTCAAGCGAGTGGTGCTGGGAAGTCAAGCGAGTGGTGCTGGGAAGTCAAGTGAGTGGTGCTGGGAAGTCAAGTGAGTGGTGCTGGGAAGTCAAGTGAGTGGTGCTGGGAAGTCAAGTGAGTGGTGCGGGGAAGTCAAGCGAGTGGTGCTGGGAAGTCAAGTGAGTGGTGCTGGGAAGTCAAGTGAGTGGTGCTGGGAAGTCAAGTGAGTGGTGCTGGGAAGTCAAGTGAGTGGTGCGGGGAAGTCAAGCGAGTGGTGCTGGGAAGTCAAGTGAGTGGTGCTGGGAAGTCAAGTGAGTGGTGCTGGGAAGTCAAGTGAGTGGTGCTGGGAAGTCAAGTGAGTGGTGCGGGGAAGTCAAGCGAGTGGTGCTGGGAAGTCAAGTGAGTGGTGCTGGGAAGTCAAGTGAGTGGTGCTGGGAAGTCAAGTGAGTGGTGCTGGGAAGTCAAGTGAGTGGTGCGGGGAAGTCAAGCGAGTGCTGCGGGGAAGTCAAGTGAGTGGTGCTGGGAAGTCAAGCGAGTGGTGCTGGGAAGTCAAGCGAGTGGTGCTGGGAAGTCAAGTGAGTGGTGCTGGGAAGTCAAGTGAGTGGTGCTGGGAAGTCAAGTGAGTGGTGCTGGGAAGTCAAGTGAGTGGTGCGGGGAAGTCAAGCGAGTGGTGCTGGGAAGTCAAGTGAGTGGTGCTGGGAAGTCAAGTGAGTGGTGCTGGGAAGTCAAGTGAGTGGTGCTGGGAAGTCAAGTGAGTGGTGCGGGGAAGTCAAGCGAGTGGTGCTGGGAAGTCAAGTGAGTGGTGCTGGGAAGTCAAGTGAGTGGTGCTGGGAAGTCAAGTGAGTGGTGCGGGGAAGTCAAGCGAGTGGTGCGGGGAAGTCAAGTGAGTGGTGCTGGGAAGTCAAGCGAGTGGTGCTGGGAAGTCAAGCGAGTGGTGCTGGGAAGTCAAGTGAGTGGTGCTGGGAAGTCAAGTGAGTGGTGCTGGGAAGTCAAGTGAGTGGTGCTGGGAAGTTAAGTGAGTGGTGCGGGGAAGTCAAGCGAGTGGTGCTGGGAAGTCAAGTGAGTGGTGCTGGGAAGTCAAGTGAGTGGTGCTGGGAAGTCAAGTGAGTGGTGCTGGGAAGTCAAGTGAGTGGTGCGGGGAAGTCAAGCGAGTGGTGCGGGGAAGTCAAGTGAGTGGTGCTGGGAAGTCAAGCGAGTGGTGCTGGGAAGTCAAGCGAGTGGTGCTGGGAAGTCAAGTGAGTGGTGCTGGGAAGTCAAGTGAGTGGTGCTGGGAAGTCAAGTGAGTGGTGCTGGGAAGTCAAGTGAGTGGTGCGGGGAAGTCAAGCGAGTGGTGCGGGGAAGTCAAGCGAGTGGTGCTGGGAAGTCAAGTGAGTGGTGCTGGGAAGTCAAGTGAGTGGTGCTGGGAAGTCAAGTGAGTGGTGCGGGGAAGTCAAGCGAGTGGTGCTGGGAAGTCAAGTGAGTGGTGCTGGGAAGTCAAGTGAGTGGTGCTGGGAAGTCAAGTGAGTGGTGCTGGGAAGTCAAGTGAGTGGTGCGGGGAAGTCAAGCGAGTGGTGCTGGGAAGTCAAGTGAGTGGTGCTGGGAAGTCAAGTGAGTGGTGCTGGGAAGTCAAGTGAGTGGTGCTGGGAAGTCAAGTGAGTGGTGCGGGGAAGTCAAGCGAGTGGTGCTGGGAAGTCAAGCGAGTGGTGCTGGGAAGTCAAGCGAGTGGTGCTGGGAAGTCAAGTGAGTGGTGCTGGGAAGTCAAGTGAGTGGTGCTGGGAAGTCAAGTGAGTGGTGCTGGGAAGTCAAGTGAGTGGTGCGGGGAAGTCAAGCGAGTGGTGCTGGGAAGTCAAGTGAGTGGTGCTGGGAAGTCAAGTGAGTGGTGCTGGGAAGTCAAGTGAGTGGTGCTGGGAAGTCAAGTGAGTGGTGCTGGGAAGTCAAGCGAGTGGTGCGGGGAAGTCAAGTGAGTGGTGCTGGGAAGTCAAGCGAGTGGTGCTGGGAAGTCAAGCGAGTGGTGCTGGGAAGTCAAGTGAGTGGTGCTGGGAAGTCAAGTGAGTGGTGCTGGGAAGTCAAGTGAGTGGTGCTGGGAAGTCAAGTGAGTGGTGCGGGGAAGTCAAGCGAGTGGTGCTGGGAAGTCAAGTGAGTGGTGCTGGGAAGTCAAGTGAGTGGTGCTGGGAAGTCAAGTGAGTGGTGCTGGGAAGTCAAGTGAGTGGTGCGGGGAAGTCAAGCGAGTGGTGCTGGGAAGTCAAGTGAGTGGTGCTGGGAAGTCAAGTGAGTGGTGCTGGGAAGTCAAGTGAGTGGTGCTGGGAAGTCAAGTGAGTGGTGCGGGGAAGTCAAGCGAGTGGTGCTGGGAAGTCAAGTGAGTGGTGCTGGGAAGTCAAGTGAGTGGTGCTGGGAAGTCAAGTGAGTGGTGCTGGGAAGTCAAGTGAGTGGTGCGGGGAAGTCAAGCGAGTGGTGCTGGGAAGTCAAGTGAGTGGTGCTGGGAAGTCAAGTGAGTGGTGCGGGGAAGTCAAGCGAGTGGTGCTGGGAAGTCAAGTGAGTGGTGCTGGGAAGTCAAGCGAGTGGTGCTGGGAAGTCAAGCGAGTGGTGCTGGGAAGTCAAGCGAGTGGTGCTGGGAAGTCAAGTGAGTGGTGCTGGGAAGTCAAGTGAGTGGTGCTGGGAAGTCAAGTGAGTGGTGCTGGGAAGTCAAGTGAGTGGTGCGGGGAAGTCAAGCGAGTGGTGCTGGGAAGTCAAGTGAGTGGTGCTGGGAAGTCAAGTGAGTGGTGCGGGGAAGTCAAGCGAGTGGTGCTGGGAAGTCAAGTGAGTGGTGCTGGGAAGTCAAGTGAGTGGTGCTGGGAAGTCAAGTGAGTGGTGCTGGGAAGTCAAGCGAGTGGTGCGGGGAAGTCAAGCGAGTGGTGCTGGGAAGTCAAGTGAGTGGTGCTGGGAAGTCAAGTGAGTGGTGCTGGGAAGTCAAGTGAGTGGTGCGGGGAAGTCAAGCGAGTGGTGCTGGGAAGTCAAGCGAGTGGTGCGGGGAAGTCAAGCGAGTGGTGCTGGGAAGTCAAGCGAGTGGTGCTGGGAAGTCAAGCGAGTGGTGCGGGGAAGTCAAGCGAGTGGTGCGGGGAAGTCAAGCGAGTGGTGCTGGGAAGTCAAGCGAGTGGTGCTGGGAAGTCAAGCGAGTGGTGCTGGGAAGTCAAGCGAGTGGTGCTGGGAAGTCAAGTGAGTGGTGCGGGGAAGTCAAGCGAGTGGTGCTGGGAAGTCAAGCGAGTGGTGCTGGGAAGTCAAGTGAGTGGTGCGGGGAAGTCAAGCGAGTGGTGCTGGGAAGTCAAGTGAGTGGTGCGGGGAAGTCAAGCGAGTGGTGCTGGGAAGTCAAGTGAGTGGTGCTGGGAAGTCAAGTGAGTGGTGCTGGGAAGTCAAGTGAGTGGTGCTGGGAAGTCAAGCGAGTGGTGCGGGGAAGTCAAGCGAGTGGTGCTGGGAAGTCAAGTGAGTGGTGCTGGGAAGTCAAGTGAGTGGTGCTGGGAAGTCAAGTGAGTGGTGCGGGGAAGTCAAGCGAGTGGTGCTGGGAAGTCAAGCGAGTGGTGCGGGGAAGTCAAGCGAGTGGTGCTGGGAAGTCAAGCGAGTGGTGCTGGGAAGTCAAGCGAGTGGTGCGGGGAAGTCAAGCGAGTGGTGCGGGGAAGTCAAGCGAGTGGTGCTGGGAAGTCAAGCGAGTGGTGCTGGGAAGTCAAGCGAGTGGTGCTGGGAAGTCAAGCGAGTGGTGCTGGGAAGTCAAGTGAGTGGTGCGGGGAAGTCAAGCGAGTGGTGCTGGGAAGTCAAGCGAGTGGTGCTGGGAAGTCAAGTGAGTGGTGCGGGGAAGTCAAGCGAGTGGTGCTGGGAAGTCAAGTGAGTGGTGCTGGGAAGTCAAGCGAGTGGTGCTGGGAAGTCAAGCGAGTGGTGCGGGGAAGTCAAGCGAGTGGTGCTGGGAAGTCAAGCGAGTGGTGCTGGGAAGTCAAGCGAGTGGTGCGGGGAAGTCAAGCGAGTGGTGCGGGGAAGTCAAGCGAGTGGTGCTGGGAAGTCAAGCGAGTGGTGCGGGGAAGTCAAGCGAGTGGTGCGGGGAAGTCAAGCGAGTGGTGCGGGGAAGTCAAGCGAGTGGTGCTGGGAAGTCAAGCGAGTGGTGCGGGGAAGTCAAGCGAGTGGTGCTGGGAAGTCAAGCGAGTGGTGCTGGGAAGTCAAGCGAGTGGTGCGGGGAAGTCAAGCGAGTGGTGCTGGGAAGTCAAGCGAGTGGTGCTGGGAAGTCAAGCGAGTGGTGCGGGGAAGTCAAGCGAGTGGTGCGGGGAAGTCAAGCGAGTGGTGCTGGGAAGTCAAGCGAGTGGTGCTGGGAAGTCAAGCGAGTGGTGCTGGGAAGTCAAGCGAGTGGTGCTGGGAAGTCAAGCGAGTGGTGCGGGGAAGTCAAGCGAGTGGTGCGGGGAAGTCAAGCGAGTGGTGCGGGGAAGTCAAGCGAGTGGTGCTGGGAAGTCAAGCGAGTGGTGCTGGGAAGTCAAGCGAGTGGTGCTGGGAAGTCAAGCGAGTGGTGCTGGGAAGTCAAGCGAGTGGTGCTGGGAAGTCAAGCGAGTGGTGCGGGGAAGTCAAGCGAGTGGTGCGGGGAAGTCAAGCGAGTGGTGCGGGGAAGTCAAGCGAGTGGTGCTGGGAAGTCAAGCGAGTGGTGCGGGGAAGTCAAGCGAGTGGTGCTGGGAAGTCAAGCGAGTGGTGCTGGGAAGTCAAGCGAGTGGTGCGGGGAATTCAAGCGAGTGGTGCGGGGAAGTCAAGCGAGTGGTGCGGGGAAGTCAAGCGAGTGGTGCTGGGAAGTCAAGCGAGTGGTGCTGGGAAGTCAAGCGAGTGGTGCTGGGAAGTCAAGCGAGTGGTGCGGGGAAGTCAAGCGAGTGGTGCGGGGAAGTCAAGCGAGTGGTGCGGGGAAGTCAAGCGAGTGGTGCTGGGAAGTCAAGCGAGTGGTGCTGGGAAGTCAAGCGAGTGGTGCGGGGAAGTCAAGCGAGTGGTGCTGGGAAGTCAAGCGAGTGGTGCTGGGAAGTCAAGCGAGTGGTGCGGGGAAGTCAAGCGAGTGGTGCTGGGAAGTCAAGCGAGTGGTGCTGGGAAGTCAAGCGAGTGGTGCGGGGAAGTCAAGCGAGTGGTGCGGGGAAGTCAAGCGAGTGGTGCTGGGAAGTCAAGCGAGTGGTGCTGGGAAGTCAAGCGAGTGGTGCTGGGAAGTCAAGCGAGTGGTGCTGGGAAGTCAAGTGAGTGGTGCGGGGAAGTCAAGCGAGTGGTGCGGGGAAGTCAAGCGAGTGGTGCTGGGAAGTCAAGCGAGTGGTGCTGGGAAGTCAAGCGAGTGGTGCTGGGAAGTCAAGCGAGTGGTGCGGGGAAGTCAAGCGAGTGGTGCTGGGAAGTCAAGCGAGTGGTGCTGGGAAGTCAAGCGAGTGGTGCGGGGAAGTCAAGCGAGTGGTGCTGGGAAGTCAAGCGAGTGGTGCTGGGAAGTCAAGCGAGTGGTGCGGGGAAGTCAAGCGAGTGGTGCTGGGAAGTCAAGCGAGTGGTGCTGGGAAGTCAAGCGAGTGGTGCTGGGAAGTCAAGCGAGTGGTGCGGGGAAGTCAAGCGAGTGGTGCTGGGAAGTCAAGCGAGTGGTGCTGGGAAGTCAAGCGAGTGGTGCTGGGAAGTCAAGCGAGTGGTGCTGGGAAGTCAAGCGAGTGGTGCTGGGAAGTCAAGCGAGTGGTGCTGGGAAGTCAAGCGAGTGGTGCTGGGAAGTCAAGTGAGTGGTGCGGGGAAGTCAAGCGAGTGGTGCTGGGAAGTCAAGTGAGTGGTGCTGGGAAGTCAAGTGAGTGGTGCGGGGAAGTCAAGCGAGTGGTGCTGGGAAGTCAAGCGAGTGGTGCTGGGAAGTCAAGCGAGTGGTGCTGGGAAGTCAAGCGAGTGGTGCGGGGAAGTCAAGCGAGTGGTGCTGGGAAGTCAAGCGAGTGGTGCTGGGAAGTCAAGCGAGTGGTGCGGGGAAGTCAAGCGAGTGGTGCTGGGAAGTCAAGCGAGTGGTGCGGGGAAGTCAAGCGAGTGGTGCTGGGAAGTCAAGCGAGTGGTGCTGGGAAGTCAAGCGAGTGGTGCGGGGAAGTCAAGCGAGTGGTGCGGGGAAGTCAAGCGAGTGGTGCGGGGAAGTCAAGCGAGTGGTGCTGGGAAGTCAAGCGAGTGGTGCTGGGAAGTCAAGCGAGTGGTGCTGGGAAGTCAAGCGAGTGGTGCTGGGAAGTCAAGCGAGTGGTGCTGGGAAGTCAAGCGAGTGGTGCGGGGAAGTCAAGCGAGTGGTGCGGGGAAGTCAAGCGAGTGGTGCTGGGAAGTCAAGCGAGTGGTGCTGGGAAGTCAAGCGAGTGGTGCTGGGAAGTCAAGCGAGTGGTGCGGGGAAGTCAAGCGAGTGGTGCGGGGAAGTCAAGCGAGTGGTGCGGGGAAGTCAAGCGAGTGGTGCTGGGAAGTCAAGCGAGTGGTGCTGGGAAGTCAAGCGAGTGGTGCGGGGAAGTCAAGCGAGTGGTGCTGGGAAGTCAAGCGAGTGGTGCTGGGAAGTCAAGCGAGTGGTGCGGGGAAGTCAAGCGAGTGGTGCGGGGAAGTCAAGCGAGTGGTGCGGGGAAGTCAAGCGAGTGGTGCTGGGAAGTCAAGCGAGTGGTGCGGGGAAGTCAAGCGAGTGGTGCTGGGAAGTCAAGCGAGTGGTGCGGGGAAGTCAAGCGAGTGGTGCGGGGAAGTCAAGCGAGTGGTGCGGGGAAGTCAAGCGAGTGGTGCGGGGAAGTCAAGCGAGTGGTGCTGGGAAGTCAAGCGAGTGGTGCTGGGAAGTCAAGCGAGTGGTGCTGGGAAGTCAAGCGAGTGGTGCGGGGAAGTCAAGCGAGTGGTGCGGGGAAGTCAAGCGAGTGGTGCGGGGAAGTCAAGCGAGTGGTGCTGGGAAGTCAAGCGAGTGGTGCTGGGAAGTCAAGCGAGTGGTGCGGGGAAGTCAAGCGAGTGGTGCTGGGAAGTCAAGCGAGTGGTGCTGGGAAGTCAAGCGAGTGGTGCGGGGAAGTCAAGCGAGTGGTGCTGGGAAGTCAAGCGAGTGGTGCTGGGAAGTCAAGCGAGTGGTGCTGGGAAGTCAAGCGAGTGGTGCGGGGAAGTCAAGCGAGTGGTGCTGGGAAGTCAAGCGAGTGGTGCTGGGAAGTCAAGCGAGTGGTGCTGGGAAGTCAAGCGAGTGGTGCTGGGAAGTCAAGGGAGTGGTGCGGGGAAGTCAAGCGAGTGGTGCGGGGAAGTCAAGCGAGTGGTGCTGGGAAGTCAAGCGAGTGGTGCTGGGAAGTCAAGCGAGTGGTGCTGGGAAGTCAAGCGAGTGGTGCGGGGAAGTCAAGCGAGTGGTGCTGGGAAGTCAAGCGAGTGGTGCTGGGAAGTCAAGCGAGTGGTGCGGGGAAGTCAAGCGAGTGGTGCTGGGAAGTCAAGCGAGTGGTGCTGGGAAGTCAAGCGAGTGGTGCGGGGAAGTCAAGCGAGTGGTGCTGGGAAGTCAAGCGAGTGGTGCTGGGAAGTCAAGCGAGTGGTGCTGGGAAGTCAAGCGAGTGGTGCGGGGAAGTCAAGCGAGTGGTGCGGGGAAGTCAAGCGAGTGGTGCTGGGAAGTCAAGCGAGTGGTGCTGGGAAGTCAAGCGAGTGGTGCTGGGAAGTCAAGCGAGTGGTGCTGGGAAGTCAAGCGAGTGGTGCTGGGAAGTCAAGCGAGTGGTGCTGGGAAGTCAAGCGAGTGGTGCTGGGAAGTCAAGCGAGTGGTGCGGGGAAGTCAAGCGAGTGGTGCTGGGAAGTCAAGCGAGTGGTGCTGGGAAGTCAAGCGAGTGGTGCTGGGAAGTCAAGCGAGTGGTGCTGGGAAGTCAAGCGAGTGGTGCTGGGAAGTCAAGCGAGTGGTGCTGGGAAGTCAAGCGAGTGGTGCGGGGAAGTCAAGCGAGTGGTGCTGGGAAGTCAAGCGAGTGGTGCGGGGAAGTCAAGCGAGTGGTGCGGGGAAGTCAAGCGAGTGGTGCGGGGAAGTCAAGCGAGTGGTGCTGGGAAGTCAAGCGAGTGGTGCGGGGAAGTCAAGCGAGTGGTGCTGGGAAGTCAAGCGAGTGGTGCTGGGAAGTCAAGCGAGTGGTGCGGGGAAGTCAAGCGAGTGGTGCGGGGAAGTCAAGCGAGTGGTGCGGGAAAGTCAAGCGAGTGGTGCTGGGAAGTCAAGCGAGTGGTGCTGGGAAGTCAAGCGAGTGGTGCTGGGAAGTCAAGCGAGTGGTGCTGGGAAGTCAAGCGAGTGGTGCGGGGAAGTCAAGCGAGTGGTGCTGGGAAGTCAAGCGAGTGGTGCTGGGAAGTCAAGCGAGTGGTGCGGGGAAGTCAAGCGAGTGGTGCGGGGAAGTCAAGCGAGTGGTGCGGGGAAGTCAAGCGAGTGGTGCTGGGAAGTCAAGCGAGTGGTGCTGGGAAGTCAAGCGAGTGGTGCTGGGAAGTCAAGCGAGTGGTGCTGGGAAGTCAAGCGAGTGGTGCGGGGAAGTCAAGCGAGTGGTGCGGGGAAGTCAAGCGAGTGGTGCGGGGAAGTCAAGCGAGTGGTGCTGGGAAGTCAAGCGAGTGGTGCGGGGAAGTCAAGCGAGTGGTGCTGGGAAGTCAAGCGAGTGGTGCGGGGAAGTCAAGCGAGTGGTGCTGGGAAGTCAAGCGAGTGGTGCTGGGAAGTCAAGCGAGTGGTGCGGGGAAGTCAAGCGAGTGGTGCGGGGAAGTCAAGCGAGTGGTGCTGGGAAGTCAAGCGAGTGGTGCTGGGAAGTCAAGCGAGTGGTGCTGGGAAGTCAAGCGAGTGGTGCGGGGAAGTCAAGCGAGTGGTGCGGGGAAGTCAAGCGAGTGGTGCTGGGAAGTCAAGCGAGTGGTGCTGGGAAGTCAAGCGAGTGGTGCGGGGAAGTCAAGCGAGTGGTGCTGGGAAGTCAAGCGAGTGGTGCTGGGAAGTCAAGCGAGTGGTGCGGGGAAGTCAAGCGAGTGGTGCGGGGAAGTCAAGCGAGTGGTGCTGGGAAGTCAAGCGAGTGGTGCTGGGAAGTCAAGCGAGTGGTGCTGGGAAGTCAAGCGAGTGGTGCGGGGAAGTCAAGCGAGTGGTGCGGGGAAGTCAAGCGAGTGGTGCGGGGAAGTCAAGCGAGTGGTGCTGGGAAGTCAAGCGAGTGGTGCTGGGAAGTCAAGCGAGTGGTGCGGGGAAGTCAAGCGAGTGGTGCTGGGAAGTCAAGCGAGTGGTGCTGGGAAGTCAAGCGAGTGGTGCTGGGAAGTCAAGCGAGTGGTGCTGGGAAGTCAAGCGAGTGGTGCGGGGAAGTCAAGCGAGTGGTGCGGGGAAGTCAAGCGAGTGGTGCTGGGAAGTCAAGCGAGTGGTGCTGGGAAGTCAAGCGAGTGGTGCGGGGAAGTCAAGCGAGTGGTGCGGGGAAGTCAAGCGAGTGGTGCGGGGAAGTCAAGCGAGTGGTGCGGGGAAGTCAAGCGAGTGGTGCTGGGAAGTCAAGCGAGTGGTGCTGGGAAGTCAAGCGAGTGGTGCTGGGAAGTCAAGCGAGTGGTGCGGGGAAGTCAAGCGAGTGGTGCGGGGAAGTCAAGCGAGTGGTGCGGGGAAGTCAAGCGAGTGGTGCTGGGAAGTCAAGCGAGTGGTGCGGGGAAGTCAAGCGAGTGGTGCTGGGAAGTCAAGCGAGTGGTGCGGGGAAGTCAAGCGAGTGGTGCTGGGAAGTCAAGCGAGTGGTGCGGGGAAGTCAAGCGAGTGGTGCTGGGAAGTCAAGCGAGTGGTGCTGGGAAGTCAAGCGAGTGGTGCTGGGAAGTCAAGCGAGTGGTGCGGGGAAGTCAAGCGAGTGGTGCGGGGAAGTCAAGCGAGTGGTGCTGGGAAGTCAAGCGAGTGGTGCTGGGAAGTCAAGCGAGTGGTGCTGGGAAGTCAAGCGAGTGGTGCTGGGAAGTCAAGCGAGTGGTGCTGGGAAGTCAAGCGAGTGGTGCTGGGAAGTCAAGCGAGTGGTGCTGGGAAGTCAAGCGAGTGGTGCGGGGAAGTCAAGCGAGTGGTGCTGGGAAGTCAAGCGAGTGGTGCTGGGAAGTCAAGCGAGTGGTGCTGGGAAGTCAAGCGAGTGGTGCTGGGAAGTCAAGCGAGTGGTGCTGGGAAGTCAAGCGAGTGGTGCTGGGAAGTCAAGCGAGTGGTGCGGGGAAGTCAAGCGAGTGGTGCTGGGAAGTCAAGCGAGTGGTGCGGGGAAGTCAAGCGAGTGGTGCGGGGAAGTCAAGCGAGTGGTGCGGGGAAGTCAAGCGAGTGGTGCTGGGAAGTCAAGCGAGTGGTGCGGGGAAGTCAAGCGAGTGGTGCTGGGAAGTCAAGCGAGTGGTGCTGGGAAGTCAAGCGAGTGGTGCGGGGAAGTCAAGCGAGTGGTGCGGGGAAGTCAAGCGAGTGGTGCGGGAAAGTCAAGCGAGTGGTGCTGGGAAGTCAAGCGAGTGGTGCTGGGAAGTCAAGCGAGTGGTGCTGGGAAGTCAAGCGAGTGGTGCTGGGAAGTCAAGCGAGTGGTGCGGGGAAGTCAAGCGAGTGGTGCTGGGAAGTCAAGCGAGTGGTGCTGGGAAGTCAAGCGAGTGGTGCGGGGAAGTCAAGCGAGTGGTGCGGGGAAGTCAAGCGAGTGGTGCGGGGAAGTCAAGCGAGTGGTGCTGGGAAGTCAAGCGAGTGGTGCTGGGAAGTCAAGCGAGTGGTGCTGGGAAGTCAAGCGAGTGGTGCTGGGAAGTCAAGCGAGTGGTGCGGGGAAGTCAAGCGAGTGGTGCGGGGAAGTCAAGCGAGTGGTGCGGGGAAGTCAAGCGAGTGGTGCTGGGAAGTCAAGCGAGTGGTGCGGGGAAGTCAAGCGAGTGGTGCTGGGAAGTCAAGCGAGTGGTGCGGGGAAGTCAAGCGAGTGGTGCTGGGAAGTCAAGCGAGTGGTGCTGGGAAGTCAAGCGAGTGGTGCGGGGAAGTCAAGCGAGTGGTGCGGGGAAGTCAAGCGAGTGGTGCTGGGAAGTCAAGCGAGTGGTGCTGGGAAGTCAAGCGAGTGGTGCTGGGAAGTCAAGCGAGTGGTGCGGGGAAGTCAAGCGAGTGGTGCGGGGAAGTCAAGCGAGTGGTGCTGGGAAGTCAAGCGAGTGGTGCTGGGAAGTCAAGCGAGTGGTGCGGGGAAGTCAAGCGAGTGGTGCTGGGAAGTCAAGCGAGTGGTGCTGGGAAGTCAAGCGAGTGGTGCGGGGAAGTCAAGCGAGTGGTGCGGGGAAGTCAAGCGAGTGGTGCTGGGAAGTCAAGCGAGTGGTGCTGGGAAGTCAAGCGAGTGGTGCTGGGAAGTCAAGCGAGTGGTGCGGGGAAGTCAAGCGAGTGGTGCGGGGAAGTCAAGCGAGTGGTGCGGGGAAGTCAAGCGAGTGGTGCTGGGAAGTCAAGCGAGTGGTGCTGGGAAGTCAAGCGAGTGGTGCGGGGAAGTCAAGCGAGTGGTGCTGGGAAGTCAAGCGAGTGGTGCTGGGAAGTCAAGCGAGTGGTGCTGGGAAGTCAAGCGAGTGGTGCTGGGAAGTCAAGCGAGTGGTGCGGGGAAGTCAAGCGAGTGGTGCGGGGAAGTCAAGCGAGTGGTGCTGGGAAGTCAAGCGAGTGGTGCTGGGAAGTCAAGCGAGTGGTGCGGGGAAGTCAAGCGAGTGGTGCTGGGAAGTCAAGCGAGTGGTGCTGGGAAGTCAAGCGAGTGGTGCGGGGAAGTCAAGCGAGTGGTGCGGGGAAGTCAAGCGAGTGGTGCGGGGAAGTCAAGCGAGTGGTGCGGGGAAGTCAAGCGAGTGGTGCTGGGAAGTCAAGCGAGTGGTGCTGGGAAGTCAAGCGAGTGGTGCTGGGAAGTCAAGCGAGTGGTGCGGGGAAGTCAAGCGAGTGGTGCGGGGAAGTCAAGCGAGTGGTGCGGGGAAGTCAAGCGAGTGGTGCTGGGAAGTCAAGCGAGTGGTGCGGGGAAGTCAAGCGAGTGGTGCTGGGAAGTCAAGCGAGTGGTGCGGGGAAGTCAAGCGAGTGGTGCGGGGAAGTCAAGCGAGTGGTGCGGGGAAGTCAAGCGAGTGGTGCGGGGAAGTCAAGCGAGTGGTGCTGGGAAGTCAAGCGAGTGGTGCTGGGAAGTCAAGCGAGTGGTGCTGGGAAGTCAAGCGAGTGGTGCGGGGAAGTCAAGCGAGTGGTGCGGGGAAGTCAAGCGAGTGGTGCGGGGAAGTCAAGCGAGTGGTGCTGGGAAGTCAAGCGAGTGGTGCTGGGAAGTCAAGCGAGTGGTGCGGGGAAGTCAAGCGAGTGGTGCTGGGAAGTCAAGCGAGTGGTGCTGGGAAGTCAAGCGAGTGGTGCGGGGAAGTCAAGCGAGTGGTGCTGGGAAGTCAAGCGAGTGGTGCTGGGAAGTCAAGCGAGTGGTGCGGGGAAGTCAAGCGAGTGGTGCTGGGAAGTCAAGCGAGTGGTGCTGGGAAGTCAAGCGAGTGGTGCTGGGAAGTCAAGCGAGTGGTGCTGGGAAGTCAAGTGAGTGGTGCGGGGAAGTCAAGCGAGTGGTGCGGGGAAGTCAAGCGAGTGGTGCTGGGAAGTCAAGCGAGTGGTGCTGGGAAGTCAAGCGAGTGGTGCTGGGAAGTCAAGCGAGTGGTGCGGGGAAGTCAAGCGAGTGGTGCTGGGAAGTCAAGCGAGTGGTGCTGGGAAGTCAAGCGAGTGGTGCGGGGAAGTCAAGCGAGTGGTGCTGGGAAGTCAAGCGAGTGGTGCTGGGAAGTCAAGCGAGTGGTGCGGGGAAGTCAAGCGAGTGGTGCTGGGAAGTCAAGCGAGTGGTGCTGGGAAGTCAAGCGAGTGGTGCGGGGAAGTCAAGCGAGTGGTGCGGGGAAGTCAAGCGAGTGGTGCTGGGAAGTCAAGCGAGTGGTGCTGGGAAGTCAAGCGAGTGGTGCTGGGAAGTCAAGCGAGTGGTGCTGGGAAGTCAAGCGAGTGGTGCTGGGAAGTCAAGCGAGTGGTGCTGGGAAGTCAAGCGAGTGGTGCTGGGAAGTCAAGCGAGTGGTGCGGGGAAGTCAAGCGAGTGGTGCTGGGAAGTCAAGCGAGTGGTGCTGGGAAGTCAAGCGAGTGGTGCTGGGAAGTCAAGCGAGTGGTGCTGGGAAGTCAAGTGAGTGGTGCTGGGAAGTCAAGCGAGTGGTGCTGGGAAGTCAAGCGAGTGGTGCGGGGAAGTCAAGCGAGTGGTGCTGGGAAGTCAAGCGAGTGGTGCTGGGAAGTCAAGCGAGTGGTGCGGGGAAGTCAAGCGAGTGGTGCGGGGAAGTCAAGCGAGTGGTGCTGGGAAGTCAAGCGAGTGGTGCGGGGAAGTCAAGCGAGTGGTGCTGGGAAGTCAAGCGAGTGGTGCTGGGAAGTCAAGCGAGTGGTGCGGGGAAGTCAAGCGAGTGGTGCGGGGAAGTCAAGCGAGTGGTGCGGGGAAGTCAAGCGAGTGGTGCTGGGAAGTCAAGCGAGTGGTGCTGGGAAGTCAAGCGAGTGGTGCTGGGAAGTCAAGCGAGTGGTGCTGGGAAGTCAAGCGAGTGGTGCGGGGAAGTCAAGCGAGTGGTGCTGGGAAGTCAAGCGAGTGGTGCTGGGAAGTCAAGCGAGTGGTGCGGGGAAGTCAAGCGAGTGGTGCGGGGAAGTCAAGCGAGTGGTGCGGGGAAGTCAAGCGAGTGGTGCTGGGAAGTCAAGCGAGTGGTGCTGGGAAGTCAAGCGAGTGGTGCTGGGAAGTCAAGCGAGTGGTGCTGGGAAGTCAAGCGAGTGGTGCTGGGAAGTCAAGCGAGTGGTGCGGGGAAGTCAAGCGAGTGGTGCTGGGAAGTCAAGCGAGTGGTGCGGGGAAGTCAAGCGAGTGGTGCTGGGAAGTCAAGCGAGTGGTGCTGGGAAGTCAAGCGAGTGGTGCGGGGAAGTCAAGCGAGTGGTGCGGGGAAGTCAAGCGAGTGGTGCTGGGAAGTCAAGCGAGTGGTGCTGGGAAGTCAAGCGAGTGGTGCTGGGAAGTCAAGCGAGTGGTGCGGGGAAGTCAAGCGAGTGGTGCGGGGAAGTCAAGCGAGTGGTGCTGGGAAGTCAAGCGAGTGGTGCTGGGAAGTCAAGCGAGTGGTGCGGGGAAGTCAAGCGAGTGGTGCTGGGAAGTCAAGCGAGTGGTGCTGGGAAGTCAAGCGAGTGGTGCGGGGAAGTCAAGCGAGTGGTGCGGGGAAGTCAAGCGAGTGGTGCTGGGAAGTCAAGCGAGTGGTGCTGGGAAGTCAAGCGAGTGGTGCTGGGAAGTCAAGCGAGTGGTGCGGGGAAGTCAAGCGAGTGGTGCGGGGAAGTCAAGCGAGTGGTGCGGGGAAGTCAAGCGAGTGGTGCTGGGAAGTCAAGCGAGTGGTGCTGGGAAGTCAAGCGAGTGGTGCGGGGAAGTCAAGCGAGTGGTGCTGGGAAGTCAAGCGAGTGGTGCTGGGAAGTCAAGCGAGTGGTGCTGGGAAGTCAAGCGAGTGGTGCTGGGAAGTCAAGCGAGTGGTGCGGGGAAGTCAAGCGAGTGGTGCGGGGAAGTCAAGCGAGTGGTGCGGGGAAGTCAAGCGAGTGGTGCTGGGAAGTCAAGCGAGTGGTGCTGGGAAGTCAAGCGAGTGGTGCGGGGAAGTCAAGCGAGTGGTGCTGGGAAGTCAAGCGAGTGGTGCTGGGAAGTCAAGCGAGTGGTGCGGGGAAGTCAAGCGAGTGGTGCGGGGAAGTCAAGCGAGTGGTGCTGGGAAGTCAAGCGAGTGGTGCTGGGAAGTCAAGCGAGTGGTGCGGGGAAGTCAAGCGAGTGGTGCTGGGAAGTCAAGCGAGTGGTGCTGGGAAGTCAAGCGAGTGGTGCGGGGAAGTCAAGCGAGTGGTGCGGGGAAGTCAAGCGAGTGGTGCGGGGAAGTCAAGCGAGTGGTGCGGGGAAGTCAAGCGAGTGGTGCTGGGAAGTCAAGCGAGTGGTGCTGGGAAGTCAAGCAAGTGGTGCTGGGAAGTCAAGCGAGTGGTGCGGGGAAGTCAAGCGAGTGGTGCGGGGAAGTCAAGCTAGTGGTGCGGGGAAGTCAAGCGAGTGGTGCTGGGAAGTCAAGCGAGTGGTGCTGGGAAGTCAAGCGAGTGGTGCTGGGAAGTCAAGCGAGTGGTGCTGGGAAGTCAAGCGAGTGGTGCGGGGAAGTCAAGCGAGTGGTGCGGGGAAGTCAAGCGAGTGGTGCGGGGAAGTCAAGCGAGTGGTGCTGGGAAGTCAAGCGAGTGGTGCGGGGAAGTCAAGCGAGTGGTGCTGGGAAGTCAAGCGAGTGGTGCGGGGAAGTCAAGCGAGTGGTGCTGGGAAGTCAAGCGAGTGGTGCTGGGAAGTCAAGCGAGTGGTGCGGGGAAGTCAAGCGAGTGGTGCGGGGAAGTCAAGCGAGTGGTGCGGGGAAGTCAAGCGAGTGGTGCTGGGAAGTCAAGCGAGTGGTGCTGGGAAGTCAAGCGAGTGGTGCGGGGAAGTCAAGCGAGTGGTGCGGGGAAGTCAAGCGAGTGGTGCTGGGAAGTCAAGCGAGTGGTGCTGGGAAGTCAAGCGAGTGGTGCGGGGAAGTCAAGCGAGTGGTGCTGGGAAGTCAAGCGAGTGGTGCTGGGAAGTCAAGCGAGTGGTGCGGGGAAGTCAAGCGAGTGGTGCGGGGAAGTCAAGCGAGTGGTGCGGGGAAGTCAAGCGAGTGGTGCTGGGAAGTCAAGCGAGTGGTGCGGGGAAGTCAAGCGAGTGGTGCTGGGAAGTCAAGCGAGTGGTGCTGGGAAGTCAAGCGAGTGGTGCTGGGAAGTCAAGCGAGTGGTGCGGGGAAGTCAAGCGAGTGGTGCGGGGAAGTCAAGCGAGTGGTGCGGGGAAGTCAAGCGAGTGGTGCTGGGAAGTCAAGCGAGTGGTGCTGGGAAGTCAAGCGAGTGGTGCTGGGAAGTCAAGCGAGTGGTGCTGGGAAGTCAAGCGAGTGGTGCGGGGAAGTCAAGCGAGTGGTGCTGGGAAGTCAAGCGAGTGGTGCGGGGAAGTCAAGCGAGTGGTGCGGGGAAGTCAAGCGAGTGGTGCTGGGAAGTCAAGCGAGTGGTGCGGGGAAGTCAAGCGAGTGGTGCTGGGAAGTCAAGCGAGTGGTGCTGGGAAGTCAAGCGAGTGGTGCGGGGAAGTCAAGCGAGTGGTGCGGGGAAGTCAAGCGAGTGGTGCTGGGAAGTCAAGCGAGTGGTGCTGGGAAGTCAAGCGAGTGGTGCTGGGAAGTCAAGCGAGTGGTGCTGGGAAGTCAAGCGAGTGGTGCGGGGAAGTCAAGCGAGTGGTGCGGGGAAGTCAAGCGAGTGGTGCTGGGAAGTCAAGCGAGTGGTGCTGGGAAGTCAAGCGAGTGGTGCGGGGAAGTCAAGCGAGTGGTGCTGGGAAGTCAAGCGAGTGGTGCTGGGAAGTCAAGCGAGTGGTGCGGGGAAGTCAAGCGAGTGGTGCGGGGAAGTCAAGCGAGTGGTGCTGGGAAGTCAAGCAAGTGGTGCTGGGAAGTCAAGCGAGTGGTGCTGGGAAGTCAAGCGAGTGGTGCGGGGAAGTCAAGCGAGTGGTGCGGGGAAGTCAAGCGAGTGGTGCTGGGAAGTCAAGCAAGTGGTGCTGGGAAGTCAAGCGAGTGGTGCTGGGAAGTCAAGCGAGTGGTGCGGGGAAGTCAAGCGAGTGGTGCGGGGAAGTCAAGCGAGTGGTGCGGGGAAGTCAAGCGAGTGGTGCTGGGAAGTCAAGCGAGTGGTGCTGGGAAGTCAAGCGAGTGGTGCGGGGAAGTCAAGCGAGTGGTGCTGGGAAGTCAAGCGAGTGGTGCTGGGAAGTCAAGCGAGTGGTGCTGGGAAGTCAAGCGAGTGGTGCTGGGAAGTCAAGCGAGTGGTGCGGGGAAGTCAAGCGAGTGGTGCGGGGAAGTCAAGCGAGTGGTGCGGGGAAGTCAAGCGAGTGGTGCTGGGAAGTCAAGCGAGTGGTGCTGGGAAGTCAAGCGAGTGGTGCGGGGAAGTCAAGCGAGTGGTGCTGGGAAGTCAAGCGAGTGGTGCTGGGAAGTCAAGCGAGTGGTGCGGGGAAGTCAAGCGAGTGGTGCGGGGAATTCAAGCGAGTGGTGCTGGGAAGTCAAGCGAGTGGTGCTGGGAAGTCAAGCGAGTGGTGCTGGGAAGTCAAGCGAGTGGTGCTGGGAAGTCAAGCGAGTGGTGCTGGGAAGTCAAGCGAGTGGTGCTGGGAAGTCAAGCGAGTGGTGCGGGGAAGTCAAGCGAGTGGTGCGGGGAAGTCAAGCGAGTGGTGCTGGGAAGTCAAGCGAGTGGTGCTGGGAAGTCAAGCGAGTGGTGCTGGGAAGTCAAGCGAGTGGTGCTGGGAAGTCAAGCGAGTGGTGCTGGGAAGTCAAGCGAGTGGTGCTGGGAAGTCAAGCGAGTGGTGCTGGGAAGTCAAGCGAGTGGTGCTGGGAAGTCAAGCGAGTGGTGCGGGGAAGTCAAGCGAGTGGTGCGGGGAAGTCAAGCGAGTGGTGCGGGGAAGTCAAGCGAGTGGTGCGGGGAAGTCAAGCGAGTGGTGCGGGGAAGTCAAGCGAGTGGTGCGGGGAAGTCAAGCGAGTGGTGCTGGGAAGTCAAGCGAGTGGTGCTGGGAAGTCAAGCGAGTGGTGCGGGGAAGTCAAGCGAGTGGTGCGGGGAAGTCAAGCGAGTGGTGCTGGGAAGTCAAGCGAGTGGTGCTGGGAAGTCAAGCGAGTGGTGCGGGGAAGTCAAGCGAGTGGTGCGGGGAAGTCAAGCGAGTGGTGCGGGGAAGTCAAGCGAGTGGTGCGGGGAAGTCAAGCGAGTGGTGCTGGGAAGTCAAGCGAGTGGTGCTGGGAAGTCAAGCGAGTGGTGCTGGGAAGTCAAGCGAGTGGTGCGGGGAAGTCAAGCGAGTGGTGCTGGGAAGTCAAGCGAGTGGTGCTGGGAAGTCAAGCGAGTGGTGCTGGGAAGTCAAGCGAGTGGTGCTGGGAAGTCAAGTGAGTGGTGCTGGGAAGTCAAGTGAGTGGTGCGGGGAAGTCAAGCGAGTGGTGCGGGGAAGTCAAGCGAGTGGTGCGGGGAAGTCAAGCGAGTGGTGCGGGGAAGTCAAGCGAGTGGTGCGGGGAAGTCAAGCGAGTGGTGCTGGGAAGTCAAGCGAGTGGTGCTGGGAAGTCAAGCGAGTGGTGCTGGGAAGTCAAGCGAGTGGTGCTGGGAAGTCAAGCGAGTGGTGCTGGGAAGTCAAGCGAGTGGTGCTGGGAAGTCAAGCGAGTGGTGCGGGGAAGTCAAGCGAGTGGTGCGGGGAAGTCAAGCGAGTGGTGCTGGGAAGTCAAGCGAGTGGTGCGGGGAAGTCAAGCGAGTGGTGCGGGGAAGTCAAGCGAGTGGTGCGGGGAAGTCAAGCGAGTGGTGCGGGGAAGTCAAGCGAGTGGTGCGGGGAAGTCAAGCGAGTGGTGCGGGGAAGTCAAGCGAGTGGTGCGGGGAAGTCAAGCGAGTGGTGCTGGGAAGTCAAGCGAGTGGTGCTGGGAAGTCAAGCGAGTGGTGCTGGGAAGTCAAGCGAGTGGTGCTGGGAAGTCAAGCGAGTGGTGCTGGGAAGTCAAGCGAGTGGTGCTGGGAAGTCAAGCGAGTGGTGCTGGGAAGTCAAGCGAGTGGTGCTGGGAAGTCAAGCGAGTGGTGCTGGGAAGTCAAGCGAGTGGTGCTGGGAAGTCAAGCGAGTGGTGCTGGGAAGTCAAGCGAGTGGTGCTGGGAAGTCAAGTGAGTGGTGCTGGGAAGTCAAGTGAGTGGTGCTGGGAAGTCAAGTGAGTGGTGCTGGGAAGTCAAGCGAGTGGTGCTGGGAAGTCAAGCGAGTGGTGCTGGGAAGTCAAGTGAGTGGTGCTGGGAAGTCAAGTGAGTGGTGCTGGGAAGTCAAGCGAGTGGTGCTGGGAAGTCAAGCGAGTGGTGCTGGGAAGTCAAGCGAGTGGTGCTGGGAAGTCAAGCGAGTGGTGCGGGGAAGTCAAGCGAGTGGTGCTGGGAAGTCAAGCGAGTGGTGCTGGGAAGTCAAGCGAGTGGTGCGGGGAAGTCAAGCGAGTGGTGCGGGGAAGTCAAGCGAGTGGTGCGGGGAAGTCAAGCGAGTGGTGCGGGGAAGTCAAGCGAGTGGTGCTGGGAAGTCAAGTGAGTGGTGCTGGGAAGTCAAGTGAGTGGTGCGGGGAAGTCAAGCGAGTGGTGCGGGGAAGTCAAGCGAGTGGTGCTGGGAAGTCAAGCGAGTGGTGCTGGGAAGTCAAGCGAGTGGTGCTGGGAAGTCAAGCGAGTGGTGCTGGGAAGTCAAGCGAGTGGTGCTGGGAAGTCAAGCGAGTGGTGCTGGGAAGTCAAGTGAGTGGTGCTGGGAAGTCAAGTGAGTGGTGCTGGGAAGTCAAGTGAGTGGTGCGGGGAAGTCAAGCGAGTGGTGCGGGGAAGTCAAGCGAGTGGTGCGGGGAAGTCAAGCGAGTGGTGCGGGGAAGTCAAGCGAGTGGTGCGGGGAAGTCAAGCGAGTGGTGCTGGGAAGTCAAGCGAGTGGTGCTGGGAAGTCAAGCGAGTGGTGCTGGGAAGTCAAGCGAGTGGTGCTGGGAAGTCAAGCGAGTGGTGCTGGGAAGTCAAGCGAGTGGTGCTGGGAAGTCAAGCGAGTGGTGCTGGGAAGTCAAGCGAGTGGTGCTGGGAAGTCAAGCGAGTGGTGCGGGGAAGTCAAGCGAGTGGTGCGGGGAAGTCAAGCGAGTGGTGCGGGGAAGTCAAGCGAGTGGTGCGGGGAAGTCAAGCGAGTGGTGCGGGGAAGTCAAGCGAGTGGTGCGGGGAAGTCAAGCGAGTGGTGCGGGGAAGTCAAGCGAGTGGTGCGGGGAAGTCAAGCGAGTGGTGCTGGGAAGTCAAGCGAGTGGTGCTGGGAAGTCAAGCGAGTGGTGCTGGGAAGTCAAGCGAGTGGTGCTGGGAAGTCAAGCGAGTGGTGCTGGGAAGTCAAGCGAGTGGTGCTGGGAAGTCAAGCGAGTGGTGCTGGGAAGTCAAGTGAGTGGTGCTGGGAAGTCAAGTGAGTGGTGCTGGGAAGTCAAGTGAGTGGTGCTGGGAAGTCAAGTGAGTGGTGCTGGGAAGTCAAGTGAGTGGTGCTGGGAAGTCAAGTGAGTGGTGCTGGGAAGTCAAGTGAGTGGTGCTGGGAAGTCAAGTGAGTGGTGCTGGGAAGTCAAGTGAGTGGTGCTGGGAAGTCAAGTGAGTGGTGCTGGGAAGTCAAGTGAGTGGTGCTGGGAAGTCAAGTGAGTGGTGCTGGGAAGTCAAGTGAGTGGTGCTGGGAAGTCAAGTGAGTGGTGCTGGGAAGTCAAGTGAGTGGTGCTGGGAAGTCAAGTGAGTGGTGCTGGGAAGTCAAGTGAGTGGTGCTGGGAAGTCAAGTGAGTGGTGCTGGGAAGTCAAGTGAGTGGTGCTGGGAAGTCAAGCGAGTGGTGCGGGGAAGTCAAGCGAGTGGTGCGGGGAAGTCAAGCGAGTGGTGCGGGGAAGTCAAGCGAGTGGTGCGGGGAAGTCAAGCGAGTGGTGCGGGGAAGTCAAGCGAGTGGTGCGGGGAAGTCAAGCGAGTGGTGCGGGGAAGTCAAGCGAGTGGTGCGGGGAAGTCAAGCGAGTGGTGCTGGGAAGTCAAGCGAGTGGTGCTGGGAAGTCAAGCGAGTGGTGCTGGGAAGTCAAGCGAGTGGTGCTGGGAAGTCAAGCGAGTGGTGCTGGGAAGTCAAGCGAGTGGTGCTGGGAAGTCAAGTGAGTGGTGCTGGGAAGTCAAGTGAGTGGTGCTGGGAAGTCAAGTGAGTGGTGCGGGGAAGTCAAGTGAGTGGTGCTGGGAAGTCAAGTGAGTGGTGCTGGGAAGTCAAGTGAGTGGTGCTGGGAAGTCAAGTGAGTGGTGCTGGGAAGTCAAGTGAGTGGTGCTGGGAAGTCAAGTGAGTGGTGCTGGGAAGTCAAGTGAGTGGTGCTGGGAAGTCAAGTGAGTGGTGCTGGGAAGTCAAGTGAGTGGTGCTGGGAAGTCAAGTGAGTGGTGCTGGGAAGTCAAGTGAGTGGTGCTGGGAAGTCAAGTGAGTGGTGCTGGGAAGTCAAGTGAGTGGTGCTGGGAAGTCAAGTGAGTGGTGCTGGGAAGTCAAGTGAGTGGTGCTGGGAAGTCAAGTGAGTGGTGCTGGGAAGTCAAGTGAGTGGTGCTGGGAAGTCAAGTGAGTGGTGCTGGGAAGTCAAGTGAGTGGTGCTGGGAAGTCAAGTGAGTGGTGCTGGGAAGTCAAGTGAGTGGTGCTGGGAAGTCAAGTGAGTGGTGCTGGGAAGTCAAGTGAGTGGTGCTGGGAAGTCAAGTGAGTGGTGCTGGGAAGTCAAGTGAGTGGTGCTGGGAAGTCAAGTGAGTGGTGCTGGGAAGTCAAGTGAGTGGTGCTGGGAAGTCAAGTGAGTGGTGCTGGGAAGTCAAGTGAGTGGTGCTGGGAAGTCAAGTGAGTGGTGCTGGGAAGTCAAGTGAGTGGTGCTGGGAAGTCAAGTGAGTGGTGCTGGGAAGTCAAGTGAGTGGTGCTGGGAAGTCAAGTGAGTGGTGCTGGGAAGTCAAGTGAGTGGTGCTGGGAAGTCAAGTGAGTGGTGCTGGGAAGTCAAGTGAGTGGTGCTGGGAAGTCAAGTGAGTGGTGCTGGGAAGTCAAGTGAGTGGTGCTGGGAAGTCAAGTGAGTGGTGCTGGGAAGTCAAGTGAGTGGTGCGGGGAAGTCAAGTGAGTGGTGCTGGGAAGTCAAGTGAGTGGTGCTGGGAAGTCAAGTGAGTGGTGCTGGGAAGTCAAGTGAGTGGTGCTGGGAAGTCAAGTGAGTGGTGCTGGGAAGTCAAGTGAGTGGTGCTGGGAAGTCAAGTGAGTGGTGCTGGGAAGTCAAGTGAGTGGTGCTGGGAAGTCAAGTGAGTGGTGCGGGGAAGTCAAGTGAGTGGTGCTGGGAAGTCAAGTGAGTGGTGCTGGGAAGTCAAGTGAGTGGTGCTGGGAAGTCAAGTGAGTGGTGCTGGGAAGTCAAGTGAGTGGTGCTGGGAAGTCAAGTGAGTGGTGCTGGGAAGTCAAGTGAGTGGTGCTGGGAAGTCAAGTGAGTGGTGCTGGGAAGTCAAGTGAGTGGTGCTGGGAAGTCAAGTGAGTGGTGCTGGGAAGTCAAGTGAGTGGTGCTGGGAAGTCAAGTGAGTGGTGCTGGGAAGTCAAGTGAGTGGTGCTGGGAAGTCAAGTGAGTGGTGCTGGGAAGTCAAGTGAGTGGTGCTGGGAAGTCAAGTGAGTGGTGCTGGGAAGTCAAGTGAGTGGTGCTGGGAAGTCAAGTGAGTGGTGCTGGGAAGTCAAGTGAGTGGTGCTGGGAAGTCAAGTGAGTGGTGCTGGGAAGTCAAGTGAGTGGTGCTGGGAAGTCAAGTGAGTGGTGCTGGGAAGTCAAGTGAGTGGTGCTGGGAAGTCAAGTGAGTGGTGCTGGGAAGTCAAGTGAGTGGTGCTGGGAAGTCAAGTGAGTGGTGCTGGGAAGTCAAGTGAGTGGTGCTGGGAAGTCAAGTGAGTGGTGCTGGGAAGTCAAGTGAGTGGTGCTGGGAAGTCAAGTGAGTGGTGCTGGGAAGTCAAGTGAGTGGTGCTGGGAAGTCAAGTGAGTGGTGCTGGGAAGTCAAGTGAGTGGTGCTGGGAAGTCAAGTGAGTGGTGCTGGGAAGTCAAGTGAGTGGTGCTGGGAAGTCAAGTGAGTGGTGCTGGGAAGTCAAGTGAGTGGTGCTGGGAAGTCAAGTGAGTGGTGCTGGGAAGTCAAGTGAGTGGTGCTGGGAAGTCAAGTGAGTGGTGCTGGGAAGTCAAGTGAGTGGTGCTGGGAAGTCAAGTGAGTGGTGCTGGGAAGTCAAGTGAGTGGTGCTGGGAAGTCAAGTGAGTGGTGCTGGGAAGTCAAGTGAGTGGTGCTGGGAAGTCAAGTGAGTGGTGCTGGGAAGTCAAGTGAGTGGTGCTGGGAAGTCAAGTGAGTGGTGCTGGGAAGTCAAGTGAGTGGTGCTGGGAAGTCAAGTGAGTGGTGCTGGGAAGTCAAGTGAGTGGTGCTGGGAAGTCAAGTGAGTGGTGCTGGGAAGTCAAGTGAGTGGTGCTGGGAAGTCAAGTGAGTGGTGCTGGGAAGTCAAGTGAGTGGTGCTGGGAAGTCAAGTGAGTGGTGCTGGGAAGTCAAGTGAGTGGTGCTGGGAAGTCAAGTGAGTGGTGCTGGGAAGTCAAGTGAGTGGTGCTGGGAAGTCAAGTGAGTGGTGCTGGGAAGTCAAGTGAGTGGTGCTGGGGAAGTGAGTGGTGCTGGGAAGTCAAGTGAGTGGTGCTGGGAAGTCAAGTGAGTGGTGCTGGGAAGTCAAGTGAGTGGTGCTGGGAAGTCAAGTGAGTGGTGCTGGGAAGTCAAGTGAGTGGTGCTGGGAAGTCAAGTGAGTGGTGCTGGGAAGTCAAGTGAGTGGTGCTGGGAAGTCAAGTGAGTGGTGCTGGGAAGTCAAGTGAGTGGTGCTGGGAAGTCAAGTGAGTGGTGCTGGGAAGTCAAGTGAGTGGTGCTGGGAAGTCAAGTGAGTGGTGCTGGGAAGTCAAGTGAGTGGTGCTGGGAAGTCAAGTGAGTGGTGCTGGGAAGTCAAGTGAGTGGTGCTGGGAAGTCAAGTGAGTGGTGCTGGGAAGTCAAGTGAGTGGTGCTGGGAAGTCAAGTGAGTGGTGCTGGGAAGTCAAGTGAGTGGTGCTGGGAAGTCAAGTGAGTGGTGCTGGGAAGTCAAGTGAGTGGTGCTGGGAAGTCAAGTGAGTGGTGCTGGGAAGTCAAGTGAGTGGTGCTGGGAAGTCAAGTGAGTGGTGCTGGGAAGTCAAGTGAGTGGTGCGGGGAAGTCAAGTGAGTGTAGCCACGAGCCACCAGCCCTCGCGTCCATTCTATCAGATGCCACCGCATGCAGCATTTCCACTCACCGACCACTCCCTTCATTCTACCCTGTTTTTTTACCAAGGTGAGTGCAGGTGTTGAATGCGGTGTTTTGTGGAGCTGTTGTGTGGAGCTATTCAACACATGGAAAGTTAGGGGAACGCGTGCAGCATTCCTGTGATATTGGCCCTCTTCTGTCGCTTCCTGGCCAATGTGCTGAGTCTAGAGCACGCGACCATGTGCAGGTGCTGAATGTGGCGAGGAGGAGTAATGCACGCGACATTCCCCCTGCTCGTTGCTCTCAAGGTGAGTACAGGCTGAGATGGATAGGTGCAGAGAGGCGCAGATGGATAGGTGCAGAGAAGAGCAGTTGTATAGGTGCAGAGAGGTGCACATGAATAGGTGCAGAGAGGTGCAGATGGATAGGTGGAGATGGATAGATGCATAAATATTTCACAAAATATAGAAGTATTTAAATATAATATATATATATATGTAACCTCTCCAAACCACCGTGATGACTTTAAAGTTGACTCAAACAAGTCCCTGCAAAGTAAAGGCAAGTCAGCTTACATCTTATAATAGCGAGGATGGAGGCAGCAGGTGCGGCACACAGTCTTGGCACTGTACCCTCGCACCCCTGCCCCTCGCACCCCTGCCCCTCGCACCCCTGCCCCTCACACCCCTGCCCCTCACACCCCTGCCCCTCACACCCCCGCCCTCACACCCCTGCCCCCTCTCTCTTCTCTTCCCCACCCTTTGCACCCTCTCCCCTCCCTGGCCCCATAACACCCGAAACCAATGGTAGAGCAGGAACTCATGCCCCTTTACCCCCTCGCCTCTCCCCATCACTCCCACACCCCATCCCCCCTCGCCTCCCCTCTCCACTATCCCTCCCCCGTCCACGTCCCCTCTGCCCCCCTCGTATGGGTACAGGGATCTGACAGGAAAGGCACTCCCCCAGGTACGCCCCAGGCTGAACACACTGCTGGCTGCACTGTTGCTCTACCCCCCTTGCTGACGGGCGAAGGGTGTGCTGGTGGCGAACTTTGTTCTGAACTCACATCATCACTTTCTCATGCCACTTTTTTTTCTCTCTCCTTTTTTGGCAGAACTTGTTTTCTCGTAGACACCATTCGCTGTTCAAACCACCCCTGTCCACCCACCCCATCCCATCCTCCACCTTAAACCCTAGAGGCAGTCATGACATCCACAGTTGCAAGTACCCCTATCCAACCTCCCCCACCACCACCACCAACCTCATCCCATCTCCGCTCCGTGCCTCCCCTCCAGGCAATCATTTTGCTGCCTTCACAGCCATCCTATCAGATACGGCCATGAGCAGCGTGCATTTCCAGTCCAAACCACCCTATCCACCCATCTCCACCTCACCCCACCGCATCCCAACCCATCCATACCTCCTCTCTGTCCCCAGGCGGTCTTCACGCAGCCCTCACAGCCAATCGATCAGGATAGTGCAGCATGCAACACCATTGCAAACAATCCCTCTCCTATCCCCTCCACTAACCTCTCCCCACACCATCTTCCATCAGGCTGGCTTGACACAGCCCCATCCAATCAGGCGCCGCGACACGCCATCCTGGTGGGAGGGCATTCAGAGGTGGGGGTAACCTGCAATGCTCGCAGCATGCCCTGGCCAAGGTGAGGTGGGCAAGGCAACAGGTGTTGAATGCAGGGGTGGGGGCTGGGAGTGACTATGCGTGAGGGGTGTTAGCCTCGCTAGGTAACCGCCCTCCCTCTCTGCTAGACTCCATATCACATGGATGTGCAGCAGCAATGCTCTTACCTTCGCCTGAACCCAGCTCCAGGTCTCCTCCTATTGACTCTCTTGCCGCTAGGCTTTAAACCCCAAGCGCTGCTGCATGAGTGCTGTGGCCATTCTGGACGAAAGTGGGGCTGTGTTTGCTTCCCGTTGCCCTCATCCCTCTCCCTCACCACTCACCCTCACCACTCACCCACAAACTAATCTCACATCCCGCCCTACCATTCTGCACAGCGACGGGGCCGTCCTTGCCTTGCGTTCTAAACTGAGTGCCATGTGAGTGCCATGTGAGTGCCATGTGAGTGCCATGTGAGTGCCATGTGAGTGCCATGGCGTGGCCATTGTGGACGACAATGGGGCGCTGGCGGAGGCAGAGCAGCGGAGACGGCTGCAGGAGGGGCAGGCAGAGCAGCAGGGACGAGTGTGAATCTCCTCTCCCTCACCTGCACCCTCGCTCACACGCACACCCATGGACGCACAGACTGCTCAAGGGCGGGCTGGCGTAGGCAGAGCGGGAGAGACAGGTGTGGCTGGAGGGGCAGGTATGGCAGGAGGGGCAAGCGGGGCAGGAGAAGTCACTGTCAGAAGAAGAGACAAGATCTAAACCCTGATGTCATTCCCACCAGATGGTACTGCTGTGCAGGGAACTCACTCCCAATGCCACCATGCTCCCACCACCATCTCCCTCCCACCACCATCCCACTCCCATACCATCTCACTCCCACCACCACTGCCTGTATGAAAGGAAGCTTGCTGGAGAAGCAAGAGATCAAGGCAGACATGATGCAGGCAAGACGCACTGCAGTCAATCGCAGAGTTTTGCCACAAGGAAATATTTCCAACAACCCAATGATGGCAGTTTGAGTTGTGTGTGCCCGTTAATATTTGTTTTAACATATTTTTAAATTACGTCATTTTACTATAACTACGTTCGTACGCTATGGACCATATGCTTAGCAGTTATGATGTTTTTTTGGGGGGGTTAATTCAAAATTATACCTTGATTTGTGGTTCATTTCGTTCATCTGGGGTAATATGTATCACGTTTTGTTGCTGTAGCCTTTAGCGAATCTGTTCCGAAGCGCTCGCGTCAATGGTTCGACCTACAAGCTCGTCCCGGACCACTACCGAGTCGCCACCACAATTTTCGCTACATCCGAACCTGCCTGCCCCGACGTCCTCGCCTAGTTCGAGTCTGCCTATATAATCTAGTTTGGAACATTCATGGATCGTCTAGTCTTCTCTGTAGCTATTCGAATTATTGCATCTCAGTTTATTTGTGAAACACGCGTGCTCATAACGAATCACACTTTTCGAATCAGCCTTCCGCCACCATATGCCACTGGCTAGGCTGGACTCGAAGGGCCGCAGGAGCCGCATTTAGGAAGTAAGAGCTGGCATCCCAAAATTCACAACGCCAAAATCACTCTGGAATTGAGGGATACGGATACCCCAAGGTCACCCTCCCGAGGTAACCCACAACTTCCCACCATGTTGTGGGTTACCTCACACTGGGAGGCAACAGTGGGGCATCAAATTGTGGCTCCGTAACTGGGCATCTCCCTCCCACCACCTACCATCTCACTCCCACCACCTACCATCTCCCTCCCACCACACCACCTACCATCTCCCTCCCACCACCTACCATCTCCCTCCCACCACCTACCATCTCACTCCCACCACCACTGCCTTTATGAAAGGAAGCTTGCTGGAGAAGCAAGAGATCAAGGCAGCCATGATGCAGGCAAGACGCACTGCAGTCAATCGCAGAGTTTTGCCACGAGGAAATATTTCCAACAACCCAATGATGGCAGTTTGGGTTGTGTATGCCCGTTGGTAATTTTTTTTTTCAAAATATTTTTAAATATACGTCATTTTACTACTTTAACTACGTTCGTACGCTATGGACCATATTCTTAGCATTTGTGATGTTATATTTTGGTGGGTTAATTCAAAACTGTACTTTGATTTGTGGTTCATTTCGTTCATCTGGGGTAATATGTATTACCTTTTGTTGCTGTAGCCTTTAGCGAATCTGTTCCGGAGCGCTCGCATCAGTGGTTCGGCTTACAAGCTCGCCCCGAACCACTACCGAGTCGCTACCTCAATTTTCGCCACATCCGAACCTGGCTTCCCCGACGTCCTCGCCTAGTTCGAGTCTGCCTATATTATATAGTTTGGAACATTCATAGGCCATCCAGCAGTTCTCTGTAGCTATTCGAATTTTAGTGCATCTCGGTTCATTTGTGAAACACGCGTGCTCATAACGAATCACATATTTCGAATCAGCCCTCCGCCACCATCTGCCGCTGGCTAGGCTGGACTCGAAGAGCCGTAGGAGCCGCATTTATGAAGTAAGAGCTGGGAAGCAACGGTGGGGCATCAAATAGTGGCTCCATAATTGTCGCGTCAAAGCGATAGGCAGGGCGACGAGACACCGACGGACGGCGACGAAACATCGACAGACAGAACGACAGTAGACGACGAGAGCAAGAAGAAGCAATTCGCGATGGCGTAAAACCACGACAGCAGAGGCGCAAGGAGGCCAATGACGGATGAGGGCGCGCATGGGGGGATCCCGGCGGCTGCAGCGGCGGAAGCAGCATCGTCGCTCTGAGCATCACAGGCCAGAGCGGCAGCAGCCAAAGCGGCGGCGGCGCGAAAAGGCAGTGTAAGGGCGGCCGCGCGGACTGCTGCCACCGCCTCCACCACCGCCACCGCCGTCCCTACCACCAGCGCTACTCCCGCTGACCGCGCGCCTCTATCGCCGCCTCCTCGAGAGCCCGCAGAAACCGGTTTGAGTGCCAGTGGTAGGGGGAGCGCCGAGGGGGACAGCAGTGAAGGGCGACTGCGCGGAGGGGGAAGAGGAGGCGGAGTGTGGAGGGGATGTGCGGAGAGGGGAAGGGGGGGGTGAGAATGCGGGTGCTCGTGGCTTGGGTTTGGCAGAACGAGCCGAGGGGGAGCAGCGAGTGGAGCAGGAGGGCGGAGGAGGGGAGAAGGGGCAGGCGGAGGGGTGGGGACGAGCAGGGGAGAGGGACGCGGGGAGAGGGATGCGGGGAGAGCGCGCTCAAGGGGTTTGAGTGGGGGTGCGGAGATAAGTACTACAACGGGAGCTAGACTACGGGCTAGGCACGGGTGCTCATGTGATCTCTGCGTTCGTTGGTCCTTAGTCGTTTTCCTAGTGCACACACTGCTTGCTAGTTCACGGGGCAAGTTGGCAAGAGTTTCATTAGAGAAAGTTGACAACAATGGTACAATGAAGTTGGCATGGCAAGACTACATCAGAGCTAGCTTTCAGGTCGGTCGACTGCCAGCGCAGCTCGGTCGACCGTGTTCCAGCACGACTTGGTCGACCGCGCTCCAGCAGTGCAAAGTCGACAGTGTGCCAACACTGCAGGTTGACGGCGTGCCAGCGTTGCTCCCGCACCTACTTCGCAGGTGCTTGCAGATGATTGGCGGGCTAAGCCTCGTCACCTGCACAACGTACACACCGTGTCATCCTCGTGCTAACGACTCCACCTGATCTGCCATGTCGACCTCGGGATACCAACACCGAGGTCGGGCTCGCCAACTTCGCCTGGGCGACCGTCGCACTCCTCCGCAGAACCTCGTCACCCAGGTAACCTGGTCGACCGGGCAACCACGTCGACCAGCTGCTCCCGTATGTGCCCGTCGACCTCCCAAGTCGACGGCCACCCCAAGTCGACCTCCAGGTCAACCACGCCCCTGGTCGACCAGCTCCAGGTCGACGTCACTCCTGGTCGACCAGCTCCACGTCGACCAGCACTCCTGGTCGACCAGCTCCACGTCGACCAGCGCAGTTGTCAGCCGACCACCCAAGTCGGCTACCCGAAGTCGGCGTCACCAAGTTGACGCCCCACCACTCAACGCCCTACTGCTCGGCGTTCTGAGTTGTGGTCGACGTCGGCCCCTCCTACGTCGACCATCAGGTCAGGTCGACCACCAGGTCGACATCACGCCTGGTCGACCTACCATCAAGTCGACCAGCAGGCCTGGTCGACCAGCCACCAGGTCGACCAGCAGTCCTGTCAGCCGACCACCCAAGTCGGCTGCCCCAAGTTGACGTCATCAAGAGGTCGAGTTCCCAGGTCGACCTCCCTGAAGTCGGCTTCACACTGAAGTCGGCCCCGTGCAGTGGTCTCCGTGCAGGTCGACCTCCTCGTCAACCAGCTCGCCCACTGCTGTAGGTCGGCTGCTCCCCTCACATCCGACCACGAAGTCGGCTCCGCCCAAGCGAGGACAGGGCCAACACACAAATCCCGTTGACAGGGGGCGCATTGGGGGTCGAATCACATTTGGCCTAACATGGGCCGCTGGCTAGATTCTCAACCACGTTCAACATGGGAGGGCAACAACGGGGCGCCAAATAGTGGCTCCATAGCGAGCGCACCGTCAAACATTATACATGTTTATATTGTGTAGGCTATAGTGGGTTTAGCCTTAGGGGGTACAACATTGTTAGGGTTTCCTACTTGTATCACCCTATTGCCTAGTTTCATCCATTCTCGTGCAGTAATAGCTTCTAGCATGGTATCCGACGCCTAGGTCAGGACCTAGGACCCACGTTGGTTAGGGCCCACCGTTCCGCCGCGCCGTCGAGCGCCCCGCTTACTAGCGCCGTCGAGCGCCCCTTCTACTAGCGCCGTCGTGCGCCCCTCCTCCTCACGCCGTCGAGCGCCCCACTTGCTAGCGCCGTCGTGCGCCCCTAGGACAGCCGCACGCGCCGCCCGTCAGCCGCACACGCAGCCGCCCACTCCGCCGCACGCGCAGCCGCACGATAGGCCGCACGCGCAGCCGCACGCACGACAGCACACGCAGCCGCCAGCGCAGCCGCACGCGCAGCCACCTGCACAGCCGCACGCGTAGCTGCACACTCGGTCGCTCGCACGACCGCACGCACGGCCGCCCGCTAGGCCGCACGCACGACCGCACGCGCAGCCGCACGCGCAGCCGTACGCACAGCCGCACGCGCAGCCGCACGCACAGCTGCAAGCGCGGCCGCCCGCGCAACCACAAGCGCAGCCGCCTGCGCAGCCGCACGCACCGCTGCACGCTAGGCGGCACGCACAGCCACAAGCGCAGCCGCACGCACACGCCGCCGCGCCGCCCTGCCCGAGCCGCGCCGCGCCGCCCTGCCCGAGCCGCGCCGCGCCGCCCTGCCCGAGCCGAGCCGCGCCGCCCTGCCCGAGCCGCACTGTGTTGTCTCACTGCTGCTACTGCTGCAGCTGTTCCTGCCGCTCCTACTGAAACTATGGCTAGTCCTGCAGTTCTAGCTTTCGATGCTGAGGGCTGCCCGCTGCGTTTTGATACCTGGCTCGAGGACCTCCATCTCTTCCTCCAGCTCACTGCTAAGGAGGATATTTCGTTGTATGACCATGCGTTAGGCCTCGCTCCTGCCCCTGCTGCGACTGCTGACAGTACTGCCCGCTCCCAGTGGCAGACTCGTGACGCCCACTCTCGCTTCGCCATTCGCAACTCCCTGCCGGTAGATGAACGCGAGCACTTTAGCCAGCAGAAGACTGCTCAGTCACTGTACAAAGCTGTAGTTGCGCGCTACTCCTCGCCTGCCTCTGCTTCACTGGGCCGCCTCTCACTACCCTATCTGTTCCCAGACCTGTCCACCTTCTCTACTGGTGCTGACCTCATTACACACCTCCGCACTAGTGAGATCCGCTTCCGTGCTGCCATGCCCGCTGAGTTTCTTGCCAAGAACCCCCCCCCCCGCTGTGGCTCACTCTTTACCACCTAGTCACCCGTCTCCCTGACTCCCTTCGTGCGGTCAGGGACACCTTCCTTGCTCTCTGCCCCACCGAGCTCACCATTGACCTGCTTGAGAAGCACCTGCTGGCAGCCGAGACTAGTATAGTAGCTGTCGGTGCGTCTCGCGGCGACCCTCGCACCCCTTTCTTCGAAGGGTGTTCCCCCTCCCCTCTTCTCCCCTCTGTCGCCTCTGCTGCTGCTGTCGACCTTCTTGGTGCTGAGAAGGTCGGGGCTGCGTCCACTGCGAGTGCGAGGTGCCGCAGCGGCAAGGGCAAAGGGGGCAAGGGGGGCGGCAGTGAGGATGGGGGAGGCGGTGGTGGGGGCGGTGGCGGCGGTGGGGGTGGTGGCGGGGCTGGAGGGGCGAGTGGCAGCGGCGGGGGTGGTGACGGCAGCGGCGGGGGTGGTGGCGGCAGCGGTGGGGGTGGTGGCGGCAGTGGTGGAGGAGGTGGCCGGGGTTGGGGCGGTGGTGGTGGCAGCAGTGGACGCGGTGGCGGTGGTGGCAGTGGTGGTCGTGGTGGCGGCGGCGGCGGTGGAGCTCGTGGAGGCTCTGGCGGTGGCCAGCGCCAGCAGCAGACCCTGTCGCCCCAGGAACTTCGTGAGTGGTACTCTCAGCGTGGGGGGGGTGGCCTTAGCTGCCCGTATGTCATCCGCACAGGTGACCGCACTGGTCAGACGTGTGGGAGGGCGCACACTCTGCAGCGCTGCTTCTCCCGCCTCGACGATGCCTGGCGCACCCAGTTTCCGGCTGCTACTGAGCTGCCCCGCTGGTTTGATCTGATCAAGAAAAACATTGATGTCTATGCTCTTGACTTTGATGCTATCCTTGGTGCCATGTATGTGTTGTCTGCTAGTGGAGAGGGTGACTGTTACCTGCGTGTCCCGCCCGACCCGGGCATTAGGACCAGTGAGGCTGCTGCACTAGGTGCTAGTGTGTCTGCTGCCCCAGGTGCTGGTGAGCCTTCCACTCTAGGTGCTAGTCTGTCTGCTGCCCCAGGTGCTGGTGAGGCTGCTGCTCTAGGTGCTCGTGAGTCTGCGCCCGCTGCGTCTACTGAGGCACTGCACACCTTCACACTGGACTCAGGTGCTTCCCGCTGTTTCTTTCGTGACCGCACTGCCCTTGAGCAGCTTGCTCGGCCGGTTGCAGTCTCCCTCGCTGACCCCTCTGGGGGTCCGGTCATTGCGACCTCCTCCACTGTCCTTCCTTATCCTGCGGTCCCGTCGGGCACACTGTCAGGCCTCTACCTCCCCTCGTTCTTTACGAACTTGGTGGTGGGTAGTGCGCTCCAGGATGGGGGTGTCCACCAGTTCACCCCTGCCTACGAGCGTGTGACACACTGCACGTGTGCTAGGACGGGTCGCCACCTGGCTACTTTCACTCGGCAGCCGGGGTCGGACCTGTACACACTGACCACTGAGTCACCTCAGGTAGCTGCGTCTGCGTCTGCGTCTAGTCAGCTATCGGCCCCCTGCCTGTCGCACCAGACCGTCCTCTGGCACCACCGCCTTGGTCACCCGTCAGTGCAGCGCCTTCGTGGCATGCACTCCCGGTACCTTGTCTCTGGTCTTCCCAGGGTTCTCCCTCCCCTACCACCCTCGCCTGCTCCTCCCTGTCTTCCCTGTGTCGAGGGGCGGCAGCGCGCCGCTCCTCACTCCTCCTCGTTTCCCCCGACGACTGCTCCCCTGCAGACGCTCCACACGGACGTGTGGGGCCCAGCCCGCGTCCGTGGACAGGGTCACGAGAGGTACTTCTTGATAGTTGTTGACGACTACTCGCGCTACACCACGGTCTTCCCCTTGCGCACCAAGGGTGAAGTCAGTGATGTTTTGATCCCTTGGATCCGCGCTGCCCGTCTCCAGCTCAGCGAGAGGTTCCACTCGGACTTTCCTGTCCTGCGTCTGCACTCTGACAGAGGTGGGGAGTTTTCCTCCGACCTCTTGAGGGCCTTCTGTCAGGGGGAGGGCATTGAGCAGTCGTTCACGCTTCCGGCCTCTCCACAGCAGAATGGGGTTGCTGAGCGCCGCATTGGTTTAGTCATGGAGGTCGCTCGTACCTCCTTGATCCATGCGGCTGCCCCCCACTTTCTGTGGCCGTTTGCGGTCCGCTACGCTGCGCATCAGCTCAACCTCTGGCCCCGTGTCTCCGTTCCGGAGACTTCGCCGACATTGCGTTGGACGGGAGAGGTTGGCGATGCGTCCGTGTTCCGGGTCTGGGGATCTCGTGCTTTTGTCCGCGATACGTCCGCGGACAAGCTCTCCTCCCGCGCTGTTCCTTGTGTCTTCCTTGGCTTCGTCCCGGACGCGTCTGGTTGGCAGTTTTACCACCCCACCTCGCGCCGTGTCCTCCCCTACTACCGCCTCTTCCCCTACCGCACTGCCCCGCTCCCCCCCCCGCCTCTCTTCCTCGCACCAGGTGCCGCTGTGGTAGACCCCCTCCCCCCTCAGGGTGCCGCTCCCTCAGGTGTGTCCCAGGTAGACCCGGTTGAGCCTGTCGAGGTAGCGGTCGACTCTCGTCCTGCTAGGGGTGCTGAGCCTGAGCGTGAGGAGCCTGGGGGTGCTGAGCCTGAGCGTGCGGAGCCTGGGGGTGCTGAGTCTGGGGGTGCTGAGCCTGAGCGTGCTGAGTCTGGGGGTGCTGAGCCTGAGGGTGCTGAGTCAGGGGGTGCTGAGCCTGAGGGTGTTGAGTCTGGGGGTGCTGAGCCTGGGGGTGCTGCGACTGACCGTGCTGCGCCTGGAGGCGCTCCTTCTTCACAGCAGCTGCGGGAGTGGTACTCGGGGTACTGCAGCCTCAGGAGAGGCACTTCTAGGGCTAGGGGTACTACTGGAGCTGGTGCTCGTGGTTTCCCGCCTAGGCGGGAGCTGCCCTCTCCCCAGCGGCTCCGAGAGTGGTACGCTCGGCGCTGCAGTCTCCGGAGTGGTGCTACTGGTGCTTTGGACCCTGGAGCTGGAGCTGCTGCTGGTGCCGCCGACCCTGCTGCTGGTGCTAGTGCTGGAGGTGCTGTTGATGCAGGTGCGACTGGAGGTGCTGCTGGTGCTGGAGCTGCTGGAGGTGCTGCTGCTGCAGGTGCTGCTGGAGGTGCTGCTAGTGCTGGAGATGCTGGAGGTGCTGCTGGTGCTGGAGTCGCTGGTCCTGGAGGTGCTCGTACTGGAGGTACTGGAGCTGCTGGGACTGGAGCTGCTGCGGGAGTTGGAGCTGGAGGTACTGGAGCTGCTGGTGCTCCTGGTGGTGCTGCGGGAGTTGTAGCTGGAGACCCTGGAGCTGAGGGTGCTGGAGCTGTCCCTGCTGGTTCCGGGAGTGCTGCGCAGCCGCGGCCGTACTACGTTCCGCCCCTTCAGCAGGTTCTTGGCCTCCCGCCCTCTCCTGGTCCTACTCCTCCCCTACTGAGTCCACCGCCTGTCCAGTCACAGTCACAGTTACAGCCTGCCTCTTCGCTGCCTGGTCCTTCTCCTTACGCTGGGCCGACTAGAGGTCTTACGGAGCGTCGTGAGCCTGAGTCTCGTCCTGCGTCGCCTGAGTCTCGTTCAGCGTCGTCTGTCCGCGCTGGTCGTCGTGTTCCTCGCGAGCGTCCTCCTCCTGTCCCTGGCACTCACTACATGACTTTGCGTCCTTCCACTGCTCCACAGCGTGTCCCTCTGCCGTCTCCTGCGTCCTCTCTTCCTGACGGTCCGGACCCGGAGTCTGACTCCCTTCAGGCTGCTAGTCCTACTGTCACGCGTCTCCTCGCCACTGTTGTCACTGACCCTACCTTTGAGTCCTCTGCTGCGTCTGCTCTATTCGCTGAGTTAGTTGACTTTGCTGCCGCCTGTCGTCTAGACTACGCCGCTAGCCTTGTTGCTGAGTCTGAGTCTGAGTCTGAGTCTGTCTGTCCTCCGTCCGTTGGGGGTGAGTGTGCTCTTGGCACGGACGTCCTTGAGGACAGAGAGGAGGAGTTTGAGTGCTTTGCCGCTGCTTTACCTCATCTCGTGTCCATGCTGATTGCCCCTGAGGGAGACCCGGATGCACCAGACATCCCGACCCCGCGCTCTTACGCAGAGGCGATAGAGGGTCCCTACTCCTCTCAGTGGCAGACAACCATGGACGCCGAGATGGCTTCCTGGAAGTCCACAGGCACCTACGTCGACGAGGTTCCCCCACCTGGGGCGAACATCGTCAGTGGCATGTGGATTTTCAGGGTGAAGCGGCCGCCGGGTTCTCCGCCTGTCTTCAAGGCGCGTTACGTTGCACGAGGCTTCAGTCAGCGAGAGGGAGTTGACTTCTTCCAGACCTTCTCCCCGACCCCGAAGATGACCACTCTTCGGGTTCTGCTGCACATCGCCGCTCAGCGTGACTACGAGCTCCACCTACAGCGGTCGTCTCAGGGTTACACCTTCAGCCTTGGCTCTGGTTCAGTTTCTTGGCGTTCTACACGCTCGTCTTCAGTTCTCAGCTCCAGCTGTGAGGCTGAGATCTACGCCACAGCCATGGCTGCACAGGAGTTACGCTGGCTCACCTACCTGCTGACCGACCTGGGAGAGCGGCCTCGTTCTCCTCCAGTGCTGTACGTTGACAACAAGGCCACCACTGCCTTGTGTCAGGAGCACAGACTGGAGCACAGAACGAAGCACATCGCTCTGCGCTACTTCCTTGCTCGAGAGTTGCAGCAGCGTGGTCAGCTTCGTCTTGCTTACGTGGCCACTCGGGCCAACACTGCTGATGTGTTCACCAAGGCGCTTCAGCCTTGTGATCATCAGCGTTTCTGTACTCTTCTCGGTCTTGTGCCTACTGTGCCTCACTTGCTCACTTCTTGACTCTGCTTGTACTGTGATCTCTAAATATATGTTCCTGCATGTTTCTACTTGCTAGGTTGTGATCACTGTATCTCTTGGTATATTATCAAACTGCATTTGAACTGGTCTTGTGACCGCTTGCTTGTGCTCAGAATTTGTGTGGTTTCCTTGAGATCCACCCTGAGCTTGCTTTGCTTTGCTTTGACTGGTCTTGTGACCATCTGGTTGTCCCCCACTTCGCCTATGGGGGTGTGTCAAACATTATACATGTTTATATTGTGTAGGCTATAGTGGGTTTAGCCTTAGGGGGTACAACATTGTTAGGGTTTCCTACTTGTATCACCCTGTTGCCTAGTTTCATCCATTCTCGTGCAGTACTAGCTTCTAACACGCACGACAGACGGGACGAGGAGAGAACGATGGATGGTGGCAAAACAGTGAATGTCGCCCGCGAAAAATACGACAGCTGACGACGTGAATGACAGTAGACGACCAGAGCGATAGCATTGGATTTGAGATGATGGAGGGCCGCGAGAGCAGAGAGCAGCGGGAATGGCGGATGGGGTAAGCACGCGCGTGTAGGCGGGGTTCCCGGCGGCGGAAACAGCCGCGCCGCTGTGAGCAGCAAAGGCGAAAGCGTCGGCGGCGGCGCCGCGAAGTGGCGGTGGAAGCCGGTCGCGAAGGATCACTTCCTCACCGCCGCAAAGGCCGCCGTCCCCGCCGCCGCCACCGTTCATGCTCCTCTACTGCTGGCTTTGCGAGAGTCCGTGGAATCTGATTTGCACGCCAATGGGAGAAGCAGCGTAGATGGGGGTAGCAGTGGTGGGCGGCCGCGCGGAGGGGGAAGGGGAGGTGGAGCTGAACTCAATGCACTGCCGGCCTCACTGCAGGCCACCTCACTGGTACGCCCATGGGAGAGGAGTGCATGTCGGCCTCTCTGTCGGCCTCTCTGCCGGCCTCTCTGCCGGCCTCTCTGCCTGCCTCTCTGTTGGTCACCTCAGGCCAAACCCAGTTACGCCCTCGGGAACGGAGCGTACTGCTGAGCCCACAAACTCCACTCGCCTCCATCTACCCATGCCTAGGGATGAGCATATATCCGAACCGAACAGGATTTTTTTTTGCCAAAAAATGTTCGGCACGAACATGTTCGTGTTCGACGCGGTACATCGACGAACACCCCCCTGTTCGTCGACGAATTGGCCGCGACATAATCTAGGGTCGCGGCCAATTCTAGCGTTGGTCATTTTTTAGAGTTCCGCGACCATGTCGCTGCCACCAGCCCGCCCAGCCCACACCCTCACCTACTACTACTAATAGCCTAGCGTGGAAGATGATTCAATTCTCACGTGTTGGCGAGATGCTTACAAGTTTTAATAATAGAAGGGGTCGCAGCATTGGAGATTGCTATTGAGGGCGAGGGTGCAGAGGAGGAGGAGGAGGAGGAGGAGGAGGAGGAGGAGGAGGAGGAGGAGGAGGAGGAGGAGGAGGAGGAGGAGGAGGAGGAGGAAGAGGAGGAGGAGGAGGAGGAGGCGGAGGAGGAGGTGGAGGGGGAGGCGGCGGAGGAGGTGGAGGAGGCGGCGGAGGGGAGAGGGGCGGACGCAGTAGAAGGTGGCGCGGATGGTGGTGTTGGTAGCGGGGGTGGGACAGGGATGTAGTTCTGATTTTGTTGGTGGGCTATGGAGGGACCCTTTGGTGACGTTTCGATGTTGAATGCTAGGTAGTCCTTTGACTATGGACATGTTCTTTGTCGGACGTTATTTATGCTCATCAAAGTTATTATAAACACGGCAAAGGTAAGGCAAAACAAAACCAAGCTGAAAACCCTACCAGCAGAATGCATTGGCAGTGTTTTATAATGCTAAGCCCCCAGGGGCGAACACGAACATGTTCTTGTCGAACATGTTCGTGTTCGCCTTTACAGGCGAACTTCGAACACCCCTTTGGGCGGTTCGGTTCGCTGAACGGCCCTATTCGAGCCAAAGCGAACGCGAATATGTTCGAGTTCGCCTCGTGCTAATCCCTACCCATGCCCCCTCTCTCCCCCCTAGGTACGCCCATCAGGTGGTCCATCAGTGTATCGCCTGAGCTGAACTCACTCCTGCACACACTGCTGCTGGCCCACCCTTTTCCTCCCCTCCATCCCCCTATGCCCTCTCCCTTACCCCAGGCTCGCCCCCCAGGTGGTGTGACTAGAATTAGGCCACCTCGTGCACACACTGCTCGCCCACCACCCCGCTCCTCTGCCCGTCTTGTACATCTGCCGCTCTCCCCCCCTCCCAGGTATGCCCCCCCACCAGTCACTCAATCCCCGTCCACATCCCCCTTGTTCCCCACACCGGTGCACATCCACCCTCCTCCTTCTCCCACCCCCACCCGTGGGAGCAGGGAGCAATGCAGCGGCGGATGCTGGCAGGGCTGAAGGAAATGCCTCCTTTTCCCTCCCTCGTCCCTCCTTCCCCTCAACCCCCATGCATGGCAGCACACAGCAATGCGACGGCGCTTGCCTGCCAACAGGGTTGCAGGAGGTGGGGGTGGCGAACAAAGCTCAAGTCCAGGGCTGGAGGTTGGCCCACCTAGAGCTTGGGGGTAGGGACTGCTTTCCTATTTCCTCATGCCCAGGTGCAGGGAGCTATGAAGCGTGCAGGGAGCTATGAAGCGTGCAGGGAGCTATGAAGCGTGCATGGAGCTGTGAAGCGTGCAAGGAGCTATGAAGCGTGCAGGGAGCTATGAAGCGTTCCCGACTCACCCATAACCTATGCACCCATCGCACTCCACTTCATCCCACCCCTACGCATCCACCCTTCCGTCCTCTCACCGAGTGGTCTTGACGCGGCGTGCTCGTTCATCCTATCATACGCTGCTCCACACAGCAACATTCCAAACGCTCTCTCTTTCTTCCCCTCCCCTTTTCCCCACCCCCCCCCCTCTGTCCCACAAATGGTCTTGGCGCGGCCCAGTCCATTCATCCATCCAATCACACGCCATCCACAAGCACGCAGCATCCACAATTCCAACCACCCCATCCAGCCACCACTATCCACCCATCCATCCACTCAGCCCATTCCCCCTCCACCCGCCAGGCGGTCTTGACGCGACCCTCTCATCCATCATCAGATGCCGATGCTCACAGCATCCACCAGGCGCTCTTGAGGCTCCCTCCCGACGCCACCTCGCTAAGGTGAGGTGGCCTAGGTGTTAGAAATATATATTGTGTAGCATGCCAACACTTGTAACTGTACACCAATTGTGGTGTACAGTTGGGTTGGGACTACACCCAACTTTGGGTGTCGTCTTGCATTGTGGGGTGCCAATCCACCCAATTGTGGTTGAGCCCCCAAATGCAACCCACTTGGCTTATGGGTACCTCACTTCCCACAAGTGAGGTCCACTCAACCCAAGTGGGCCTAGGGTTGCCTCACTTCCACAAAGTGTGGGCAACCCAACCCACTTGACCTATGGTTGCCTCACTCCCCCAAGTGAGGTCAACCCAACCTATGGTCATCTTCACCCTTCCCTTTCAAGCCTTCCTTCCAACTATATATGCTAGGCTTCTCCTCTAATGAAGTTACTTGTTCAATTTACAATCTTCACATGGTATAGAGCTACTTGTTCCTAGGCCTTACCTCTCCCTCCCTACCGTTTTTTTTTTTCCATGGGCCCACCCCACAGTCACAAATCCCCTCCTACGCGTGGCTCAACCTAGCCATCCCTAGCATACCCTCGCCGCGACCTACGCCGTCGCCGCCGTTCCCTCTCCCCGCCGCGATTACGCCCTCCTCGCCTGCGGATCCCACCGCCGCGAGCGCTTCGCCGCTGCCCCCCCCCCCCCCCTCCTCCCGTCGCCGAGACCCCTCGTCGCCGCCTCCCCCTCCCGCCGCCGCGCCTTCTCCGGCGCCACCTGCGCATCCCACCGCCGCGACGCCTCGTCGCCGCCTGCCCAACCCTCCACCGCGACCCCCCGTCGCCGCCTCCCCTTACCGCCGCCGCGCCCGCTTCGGCGCCGCCTGTGCATCCCACCCCTGCGACGCCTCGTCGCCGCCTGCCCATCCCTCCGCCGCGACGTCACGTCGCCGCCTCACCTTACCGCCGCCGCGCCTGCTTCAGCGCCGCGTGCGCATCCCGCCGCCGCGACGCCTCGTCGCCGCCTGCCCATCCCTCCGCCGCGACGTCACGTCGCCGCCTCCCCTTACCGCCGCCGCGCCTGCTTCGACGCCGCCTGCGCATCCCGCCGCCGCCTTCCCATCCCTCCGCCGCAACGTCACGTCGCCGCCTCCCCTTACTGCCGCCGCGCCTGCTTCGGCACCGCCTGCGCATCCCGCCGCCACGACGCTTCGTCGCTGCCTGCCCGTCCCGCCCCCGCGACTTCGCGTCGCCGCCTGCACGTCCCGCCGCCGCGACCTAACGTCGCCGCCTGCACATCCCGCCGCCGCGACTTCGCGTCGCTGCCTGCACGTCCCGCCGCCGCGACCTAGTGTCGCCGCCTGCGCATCTCGCCGCCGCGACTGCTCGTCAACGCCTGCCCGTCCCGCCGCCGCGACCTAGTGTCGCCGCCTGCGCATCTCGCCGCCGCGACTGCTCGTCGCCGCCTGCGCATCCCGCCGCCGCGAACTACTCGTCGCCGCCTGCCCGTCCCCCCGCCGCGATTTCGCATCGTCGCCTCCCCTCCCCGCCGCCGCTACCGCACGCCGTCGCCCGCGCATCCCGCTGCCCCTACTGCCCCGCCACCCGGCCGCAATTTCCGATGCCGCAACTGCACCGCCAGCCACCCGCATATCCGCCGCCGCGACCACACCGTCGCCGCTTGCGCTTCCCGCCGCGGCGCCTGCTTGTCCCCGCTTGCCCACACCACCCCCTGCAGATTCCACCGCCGCAGCAGCCGCTTCAATGGTAGCAGCAGCGGCCATGGCAGCAACAGCCCCAACTACAGCTGCAGCCGATTTCTTCCTCTCCCTCCCCCCCCCTCCCCCTTTCCTTCTCCTCTCCCTCTTCTCCTACGCAGCAGCAGCCGGGACAGCTCAGCAGCGGCAGCAGCAGCAGCAGCTTCGGCAGCAGCGGCAGCAGCGGCGGCAGCAGCGGCAGCATCGGCAGCAGCGGCAGCAGCAGCAGCAGCGGCAGCACCGGAAGCAGCGGCAGTAGCCGGAGGAGTGCACCAGCCTCAGTAGTAGCACCTTCCCCCTCGGCCGCCGCGGGTCCACCCGCCGTCGCCCTCCCCCTTGACCGCCGCGGGTCCACCCGCCGCGGTCCCCCTCGTGGCCGCCACGGGTCCACCCGCCGTCGCCCCTCATGGCTACCAACCCTTCTGCCCCCCTCCCCCCTCCCATCGACGCCTCCTCTATCGACAAGCTCCAGCTTGCCGCGGACCGCTCGGCTGTCATTTGGCACTCGTTCGTCGGGAGCATCCGCCGTGTCCTCCATGATGCCTTCGTTGGACCCTACTGCGTCCTCGACATCCTCCTCCGCCGCCCGCACGCTCTCCAGCCCAAGGCACCCATTCACCCCGGTGAACCCCCTCCTACCCCCATTCCCCCTGGCCCTCCTCCTCCTGAACCTACCTTGGAGATCGCCGCTACCCCAGAGCTCTAAGCTGCCGCCGATGCCACCTTCCTCCACGGTCGCCGCGAGTACCTCATCCACAAGGCGGAGTATGAAGTTGTGGTGCATAATCACGACTTTGCAACAGCGGAACGTGCCACTCGCCTGGCGTTACTTAATGAGTATAACACGGCCATGGCAGACTACCTCCCCAAGAGCATCACATGGGCCACTGCTGACAACCGCGCCTGCACCATCCTCCTCGGCGCACTCCCCGACACCCTCATGCGCCGCTTCCAGGCTCGAGAGATGCGCGCCTCCCTAATTTGGGCCGAGCTCCAGGCGATGTTTGAGCGTCGCGACATCAGCTCTGTCGGCGCCCTTTTCCAGGAGTACTTCTCCATCACCCTTGCCATCTGTGACGGCGCAGTCGACTACGTGAGGCGCATGCAGGAGGTCGCTGATCGCCTTGCGGTGCGCCAAGCTGCCCTCCCCGAGCCACTGCAAATCCATCGCCTCCTCTACAACCTTACCCCGGACTACGAGTCCCGCCTCCATGCCTTCACTGAGGCAAACTCCATGGCCGGCCTCAACGACGTGGTCCAGTGGATCATTGACACGGAGGTCAAGCTCCGCACCCCCATTGTCAACCTTACCACCCCTCAGTCCTCCTCCTCCAGCTCCCTCAATGCTACGCAGCCGCGCAACCAGGGTGGTCGCAACGGCGGCGGTGGAGGTCGTGGAGCGGGTGGCGGTGGTGGTGGAGGTCGGGGCGGTGGTGGTGGCGGTGGTGGTGGTGGTGGCCGTGGTGGCCGTGGTGGCGGTGGTAGTGGTGCTGGCGGCACCCCTGCTAGAGGACCTTCCGGTGCTGGTGGTGCTGTGAATCGAGGCGGTCGCCCTGGAACTCTCCCCCCATGCACGTATGTTCGCCGCCATGGTCCCCATGCTGGTACCCCTTGCGGTCAAACCAACCACCCTCCTACCACGTGCTTCAAGGCGCTCGATGATGCCTGGTTTGATCGAGGCAACACTAGCACCCCTCCTCGCTGGAACACTGTCACCCCTCGCTCCTCCTTGGTGGATGTTCAAACCCTCCCATCCTTCCTTCCTGCTCACCTTCGCCTGGTTACACCCTCCCCACCTTCCCAGCTGTAGCAGTTTCAGCAGCACCAGCAGCAGCAGCACCAGTACTTCCAGCAGCAGCACCACCACCAGTACTTCCAACAGCAGCAGCAGCAGTAGCTGCAGTTTCTCCAACCGCATTAGCAGCCGCCGCCGCAGTTCTTCCAGCCGCCGCAGCAGCAGCACCCGCAGTTCCTTCCGCCACACTGGCAGCAGCAGCCGATGACCTTCGGCACAGTGGCCATGGCCGCTCATGCCTCCCTTGCTCCCCCCCCCCCCCCCCTGGGGTTCCCTCCCCTCTGCCCCCCCCAGTGTCCCCGACACTTCGGGTAGTTTCCTTGGTCATGTCACTGTTGCACCATCCGCCGCTTCCATGTATCCCTCTGCTATCAATGAGACATCTTTCCAGTACCCCGTGCCACCTCCCCCTCTTTCCTCCCCCACCCTGGACTTCGTCCTTGATAGTGGGGCCACTGAAACCGCACTAAAATACGCCGGCACCCTCACCCCCCTACCACTTCCCACTCAGGTTCATGGAGCTGATTCCGGCTTTTCCATTCCATGCACTCACCTCTCCACCCTCCCTTGCACTGCCTTCCCCTTTGGTAAGGTCACAGGCCTCCACATCCCCACTCTCCGCAACAACCTTATCTCCCACCGTGAGCTCCAAGGTGTTGGTATTACCGCCATTTACCCGGGCTTTGCTAACTACTGTGATCTCTACCAAACCTCCTCTGGTCGCTTCCTTCTCCGCATTCCGCTTTGCCCTCACACTCGCCTCTACACACTCCGCACACCTTGCCCATCTTTCTGCCACGTCACCACCCGTGCCGGCACTTCCACCGGTCCACCTCCCCCTCCTTCACTTCCCCCTCCCCCTCCCCCTCAAGTATCCTCCTCTCCTTCCCCACCATCCTCCTCCTCCCCTCCCGTCCCTTCCATCACCCCGTCTCCCTCTTCCTCCACTACCCTCTCTCACCCTGCTGTACTTTTACACCACAGACTCGGCCACCCCAACTTCACTGCACTTCGCACCACGGTCAGCTCTCGCCTCCTTCGCAGCCTTCCTCCCGTCTTACCCCCCCTCCCCTCCTCCCCCTCTCCCCCATGCCCTTCATGCATCCACGTCAAGCTCAAACAGTCACCCCACCACAGTCATCCCACCTTCGCTGCTGCCCCCATTGACCTTGTTCACATGGATCTCTGGGGCCCCTATCCCATCCGCTCCCGCCAGGGGCACAAGTACATGCTCGTCCTCGTCGACGACCACAGTCGGTACTCCACTGTCTTCTTTCTTCACACGAAAGACCAGGTGCCGGCTGTGGTCATCAACTGGGCTGAGCTGTGCCGCAACCACTTCAAACGCCCCATCGGCCGCCTTCACTCTGACGGTGGGGGTGAGTTCATCAATCATACACTTGCCTCTTATTGCACGACACACGGCATTCAGCAGACCTCCACCCTCCCCCACTCCCCTCAGCAAAATGGCGTTGCTGAGAGTCGCATTCGTGAGATCACAAAAATTGCTCGCTGCCTCATTGCTCATGCTTCCACCCCTCCTTCCCTCTGGAGCTATGCCCTCCTCCACGCCGCCCTCCTCCTTAATCTCCGTTCCCACCCTCAGCATCCTTCCTCCTCCCCCACAGAGCTCTGGTCCAAGGCCAAACCTGACGCTGTCGGCATTCGTGTTTGGGGCTGCAAGGCCTTCGTCCTCATTCCGCCCGCCGACCGCTCCCGCGCCGCTGGCAAGCTTGCTCCTCGCGCCCTGGAGTGCGTTTACCTTGGGCACAACCGCGACTCCCCAGGCTACCTGTTCCTCCACCCTCCCACCAATCGCCTCATCCGCAGCTGCAACGTCGTCTTCGACGAGTCCATTCCCTATTACTCCACTCCTCCCCCTGACCCTCTCCCCCCTCCCACTCGCCCCCTCGCTTGGACCGATACCGTCCTCCCGCCTCTCCTCCCTCCAGCGCCTCTCCTCCCTCCAGCGCCTCTCCTCCCACCTGTAGCCACTCCGCTCCCGCCTTCCTCCTCTACCGACATCTACGACCCCGCCGCACCCGCCTCCCCCGCCCACTCAGCTGCACCCCCTCCTTCCCCTCCCTCCTCCTCTCATTCTCCCCCTTTGCAGCAGCAGCCGCCGGGGCATCAGTAGCAGCACCAGCCGGGGCAGCAGCAGCAGCGGCACCAGCAGCAGTAGCCGAGGCAGCAGCAGCAGCAACCGGGGCAGCAGCAGCAGCAGCAGCTGGGACATCAGTAGCAGCAGCAGCACTATCAGCCGCAGCAACAACGCGCCACCTCTCGCTCCTCCCCTTTTCTCCTTCCCCGCATGCACACCCGTTCCCTGGATCGTATCCTTGGGAGCCCTCCTCCTCCTCCTCCCTCCCTTCAGCTCCTTGAGGACTCTCACGAGGAGTTTCTCACCATTCAGCAGCACACTCCTTTCCTTGCCACTCTCTTCCTTGACTTCCTTGGCTTCCCCGTACTTGGCGCCACCTCCACCCCCACCATCTTTACTCCCTCCACCTTCCAAGAGGCCACCACCTGCCCTGACGCAGACAAGTGGATAGCGGCAATCTTCCAGGAGTGCGAGGCGTTTATCCGCAACGACTCCTTCGTTGACGTCCCCCTCCCCGCCGATGCCAATCTTGTCAAGGGCAAGTGAGTCTTTTGGGTGAAGCAGCTGCCGGACGAAGAACCGGTCTACAAGGCACGCTAATGCGCCAAGGCTTCACACAGACGTTTGGGGAGGATTTCTGGGCCACCTACCCCCCCACCGCCAAACCCCCCACCCTTCGCGCAGCCCTGGACATTGGTGCGCGCGACAACATGGAGATCGACTCCATGGACGTCTCCAACGCGTTCCTGCAGGGCGACCTGCACGAGCGCATTTTCCTTCGGCGACCACCCGGGTTCCACGCAGCCTTCCCTGAGAACACTGTCTGGCAGCTACGTGAGTGGCATGCGAAGTTGGCTGCCACCTTAGGGTCTCTCGGCTTCTCTGCTTCGCACTCCGACGCCAGCCTCTTCATCCGCTCCTCCCACCGCTGCTTCTTCATCCTGGTGTATGTGGACGACATGATCCTGCTCTCTGACTCCAAGGCCGACATGGAGCAGATGAAGCTGTCCCTGCAGCAGCGTCTCAAGTGCAAAGACCTTGGCGCCCTCACTCACTATCTGGGCATGGCCATCACGCGCAACCGCCCTGCTCGCACCATCACCCTCTCCCAGTCCCACTACATCGGCCAGGTCTTGGAGAAGTTCGACATGGCGCAGGCCAAGCCCGTCTCCACCCCCCTCCCTTTCGGCCACCAACTTGCTCCACCCACTTCTCCCGCCTCCTCCCCTCACCCCTATGCCGAGCTCGTTGGGTCCCTGATGTACGCAATGATGTGCACCCGCCCCGACCTCGCCTACCCTATCAGCGTGCTCGCTCGCTTCGTTGGCACCGGTCGCCACACTGAGGAGCACTGGAAAGCTGCCAAGCGGGTCCTCCGCTACCTTCAAGGGACCAAGGACCTTTCCCTCACCCTTGGCGGCCCTTCCCCTCCTCTTCTCTCAGGCTTCAGTGACTTCTCTTGGGCTGACACGCAGCCAGACCGCCGCTCCTCCCAGGGCTATGGATTCACCCTTTGCAGCGGCCTCATCAGCTGGCGCTCCACCTGCTCCTCCGCCATCTCTCTCTCCACCTGCGAGGCCGAGCTCCACACTGGCACTATGGCCGCCCAGGAGTCGCGCTGGCTCTGCTTCCTTCTTGCAGAGCTTGGCGCCCCCCAGCCATGCCCCACTCTCTGGTGCGACAATGCCAGCACCATCCACCTCACTCAGGACCCCGTCTATCACGCCCGCTCCAAGCACATCGAGCTCCGCTACTTTTTCATTCGCGAGCTCGTCAGAAGGGCCTCATTGCCGTTCGCAAGATTGCAGTCGAGGCCAACTTGGCCGACATCTTCACCAAGGCCCTCCTTCGCCCTGCGCACTCTGCTCTCCTCCGCCTCATTGGCCTCGCTCGCCCGGGCGCCCCTTGATTCAGGGTTTCTTCTCTTCTTGTGTTAGCATGCTAAGGGGTTGTGTTAGAGATATATATTGTGTAGCATGCCAACCCTTGTGACTGTACACCAATTGTGGTATACAGTTGGGTTGGGACACACCCAACTTTGGGTGTAGTCTTGCATTGTGGGGTGCCAATCCACCCAACTGTGGTGGAGCCCCCAAATGCAACCCACTTGGCTTATGGGTACCTCACTTCCCACAAGTGAGGTTAACTCAACCCAAGTGGGCCTAGGGTTGCCTCACTTCCACAAAGTGTGGGCAACCCAACCCAATTGACCTATGGTTGCCTCACTCCCCCAAGTGAGGTCAACCCAACCTATGGTCATCTTCACCCTTCCCTTTCAAGCCTTCCTTCCAACTATGTATGCTAGGCTTCTCCTCTAATGAAGTTACTTGTTCAATTTACAATCTTCACACTAGGTAGGTGGCTTGACGCTGTGGTGGGTCGTGGTGCAATCAGGTAGTTTTTGAGAATTCTCAAAATCCACCTACAATCTAAAGTGGGTAGTGGTGCTATCAAGTGGCACACGGTAAGGTGAGCTGCTGGTTTTGTTCTATCCCGGGAGTATATGCATGTACGAGGGGTAATGCGTGCAGCATCCTGGCCAAGACGGGTGTAGGCTGAGTTGGCGGGGAGGTGGGGCATGGTTCTGCCAGGTACCACATGGTGCGGTGGGGCATGGTTCTGTCAGGTACCACATGGTGCGGTGGGGCATGGTTCTGCCAGATACCACATGGTGAGGTGGGGCATGGTTCTGCCAGGTACCTCATGGTGAGGTGGGGCATGGTTCTGCCAGGTACCACATGGTGAGGTGGGGCATGGTTCTGCCAGGTACCACATGGTGAGGTGGGGCATGGTTCTGCCAGGTACCACATGGTGAGGTGGGGCATGGTTCTGTCAGGTACCACATGGTGAGGTGGGGCATGGTTCTGCCAGGTACCACAAGGTGAGGTGGGGCATGGTTCTGCCAGGTACCACATAGTGAGGTGGGGCATGGTTCTGCCAGGTACCACATGGTGAGGTGGGGCATGGTTCTGCCAGGTACCACATGGTGAGGTGGGGCATGGTTCTGCCAGGTACCACATGGTGAGGTGAGGTGGGGCATGGTTCTGCCAGGTACCACATGGTGAGGTGGGGCATGGTTCTGCCAGGTACCACATGGTGCGGCGGGGAAATGGAGGAAGTGCATGCGTGAGGGGTACTGCATGCAGCATCCCATGCTCGTGCCTCTGTCCAGATGCCTGGCCAAGGTGAGTGTAGTCGTTCAATGTGGTGGGGTGCGGTGCTGTCAGGTAACACACGTTGCGGTCGGGAATGGTGGGGGTGCATGCATGAGTTGTAATGCACGCGCCATTCCCGTGGCGCTGGCGCTCTCCTGACACCATCTGGCCATGGTGAGTGCAGGCTACCACAGTTAATGGTTTTGATTCAAGGTGGTGCTTTGCTTCGCGTTGCACTGCAACGCATTCTACTCCCTCGTAATGAACCGACTGCACTGTCGAGTGAGTGCTGCCATGGCGAGGCTGTACTTGCCTTCCCATGGCCATTCTGGCCGTGTGTTGCCTCACCTGACCCACACAATCCGGCTGTATTGAAACATCTTTTGAGAATTCTCAGTAGTGACTTCAATTGAGCCTGCATTGCAGGTGCCTCACCTTGTGTTCACCTCATGCCTCACCTTGTGTTCACCTCATGCCTCACCTTGTGTTCACCTCATGCCTCACCTTGTGTTCACTCATGCCTCACCTTGTGTTCTCCTCATGCCTCACCTTGTGTTCTCCTTATGCCTCACCTTGTGTTCTCCTCATGCCTCACCTTGTGTTCTCCTCATGCCTCACCTTGTGTTCACCTCATGCCTCACCTTGTGTTCTTCTCATGCCTTACCTTGTGTTCTCCTCATGCCTCACCTTGTGTTCTCCTCATGCCTCACCTTGTGTTCTCCTCATGCCTCACCTTGTGTTCACCTCATGCCTCACCTTGTGTTCTCCTCATGCCTCACCTTGTGTTCTCCTTATGCCTCACCTTGTGTTCACCTCATGCCTCACCTTGTGTTCTCCTCATGCCTCACCTTGTGTTCTCCTCATGCCTCACCTTGTGTTCTCCTCATGCCTCACCTTGTCTTCTCCTCATGTCTCACCTTGTGTTCTCCTCATGCCTCACCTTGTGTTCTCCTCATGCCTCACCTTGTGTTCTCCTCATGCCTCACCTCGTGGAAGATATCGTTTATGAAAGGGAATCGATGTGAAGACGATGGGGCTGATGCCTCATCTTGTAGGAACAGGCGAGGTGATGCAGCCAGGCGACTGATGGGGTGCGTGTAGGATAAGTCTGGCATTACCAGGGATGGGCGAGGTCATTATCAGCTCATTCTCAGCTCATTCTCAGCTTATTCTCAGCTCATTCTCAGCTCATTCTCAACTCATTCTCAGCTCATTCTCAGCTCATTCTCAGCTCATTCTCAGCTCATTCTCAGCTCATTCTCAGCTCATTCTCAGGTCATTCTCAGGTCATTCTCAGGTCATTCTCAGGGCATTCTCAGGTCATTCTCAGGTCATTCTCAGGTCACTCTCAGGTCACTCTCGAGTCACTCAATTCTCAGGTCACTATTGACTCAAGCTCCTGTCATGTTCACGTGTCTCTCGGTGTTGCATGCCCTACGAATGCCCCGCTTTGGTGTTACCCAAAATGTCAACGCGGGACTAACAAGGACTGATAGTATACAACGTCGCGCCCCTCTTCCTCCCCTCTTCCCATCTCTCACCACTTCCCTCGCACCCACCTCATTCGCATTTCCTTATGGCCCTTCCTGGGCTGTCCCACTGTCAACCCCTCCCCGCGACACTCACTGCGTTCAAAGCAAATCTGCTTTCACAACGCCACTTCCTCACCCCCACCCAATCAATCACCGCCTCTCTCTCAAACCCACCCACCTCACCAATCTCTCTCTCTGACCCCTCAATGCCTGTCCCATTGGCCTCTCTGTATTACTGCTCTCTGTTCTTCTGATTACCCTGCAGCTGTGCTTATCAGTGTCACTCTGTATCAGCGTCACTCTGTATCAGTCTCACTCTGTATCAGTGTCACTCTGTATCAGTGTCACTCTGTATCAGTGTCACTCTGTATCAGTGTCACCCTGTATCACCGTCCCACCATCCTGTTCCCCATTCCTATCCCCTATCCCATCCCCAAACATCTGAACCACACTGCACCGTGGATCATGAGAATGCTCAGAAACCAATCGCAACAGGCTTTTAGGGGGGCTGGGAGGAAATCGACAGTTGCTTTAGACCCACCATATTGAGATGCATGCATGAGTCCCTCCAATTCGTGCTGCTGTGAACTCACTCCCATTGCTGCCACGCTGCCACTACCATCTCACTCCCACTACCATCTCACTCCCACCTCCATCTCACTCCCACCACCATCTCACCCCCACCACCACCTCTGCCATGCAGGAAACGAAGCCTGATGGGGCAGGAAGAGGTCCACTAGGCAGGCTGCAGCCAAGACCCAAATGCGGAGTCATGCAAGAATTACCAACTAGCCAGTGCGAGCAATTTGGGTTGCGTGCCCTCCTTCGTCTATAACATGTTAGAAGTGATGTTTAAGATACTTTTCTGCACCGCACTAGCTTGGTTTGTACGTGCCCTCCTTGGTTTGCAATGATAACCGGGCAAGTGGGCTTGAGTAAAAATCAATTGTGGATGTATTCCAATATTTACACAACAAAAGCAACTATGTTCATCTCGTTGAGTCTGTATACAGAATTAGAATCGTTACTGGAGGCTTATTTCAGCATATTCACTCCGACGAGTTCGGGTCAGCTGGTTCGGCCTAAATATTCGTGCCGAACCACTTCCGAACGCCACCGCACCTTTCGCCAGACTTCCGAGCCTCCGTTATTCCGAAGTTCCCGCCTAGTTCGGTTCCGCCTATTTCAGCTTCGTTTTAGACAGTCATAGGACATTTCAGTAGAACAATAGTTTGTAAAAGATACGCACTGATTGCATCAGGCCAACATTTCGCAAACACGTGCGCGGGGCTCACTAAGTAGAACCACACAGGATTAGGAAGTGAGAGCTGGCAACAGTCAGATGGCGATCCCGTCGAAGCCACACATAGAGCGACGAGAGCGAGAAGAGCCAATTCGCGATAGCGAAGAGCCGCGACAGCGCAGCACGAGGAGGTGCAGCAATGGCGAGGTGGGCAAAGAGGAGGCGCAAGCCTGACCTTTGTTGAGAGAAGTCATAGTACAAGTGGCGATACTACACTGGCAACGGAAGGACGCTTGGAGCGTCAGGTAGTGGCGCAGTCGATACTGCCTCAGATCGACAGACAGGCAACGGCACAGCGCGGCGTACGGCGATGAGAGAGCGATAGACTGCGACGTGAGAGCAATGGACTGTGACGCGCGATGCGCGATGAACTGCGACGAGTTGTCCACAAAAGAGCAAAACGACGGACTGCGACGCGAGTGCAATGGACTGTGACAACAGAGCGACGGACTGTGACGAATTGTCCACAAAAGAGTGAAAAGGTCCAATTCGGTTGGAGGATAGCGCGCAGAGGCGCGAGGAGCAGAGGTGCGAGGAGCAGAAGCAATGTCGGTTGGCGGCAAAGCACGCGCGCGCAGGGAGGGCTCCCGATGGTAGCAGCGGCAGCTGGTGGTGGCGGCATGGCTGCGAGCAGCACAGGCAGAAGCGGCATTGGAAGCCCACGCCCATCATTTCCCCACCGCCACCACCACCACCGCCCCCGCTACCGCCGCCATCCCTGCTGCTCGCGCGCCTCTGCCGCCGCGTTTTCGAGAGTCCGTGGAAATTTGTTTGCGCGCCACATGGAGAAGGAGCGCAGACGGGGCAGCAGTGACGGGCGGCCACACAGAGGGGGAAGGGGAGGCGGAGTGGTGAGGGAAGGCGCAGGGAGGGTAGAGGGGCTGCGGGCGCGCGTGGCTTGGGATTGGTGGAAGCGAGGCGAGGGGTGGGAGAACGGGGAGCGGGGACGGAGCAGGGGGGCGGAAGAGGGGAGAAGGGCCAGGCGGAAGGGTGGGGACGGGCAGAAGGGAGGAAGCGGGGAGAACACGCGCAAGGGGCTCGAGGGGGGCCGGTAGACGGGGAGCTATTGGGTGAAGGAAGGAGGGTGGGGGTAAGGGCGCGGGATAGGTTGCGGGTGCGGGTGAAGGCAGCAACGTGGAAGAGCATTGGTGTGAGGCGGGGGAAAGCGAGTGAGCTGGTTGAAACACATGGTGGTGCTGGCGGGGGAGGGAGGGGGTGGAGGAGTGGAAGGGCGGCGGGAGGGGAAGAAGCGGAGTGTAGAGGAGAGGCGCGTTAGGAAGGGCGGGGAGCGGACGAGAGGGAGGGAGGTGGGTGTGAGGCAGGTGGGTGGGAAACGAGTGGATAGGCGAAGGCGAGCGAGGAGCAAGGGAGGAGAAAAGGGGCAAGGAAAAGAGGAGAAACGAGGGGAGGGGAGGGGAGGGGAGGAGAATGGAGGGGAGGAGAAAGAAGGGGAGGAGAATGGAGGGGAGGAGAAGGACGGGGAGGAGAATGGAGGGACGTCAAAGGAAGGGGAGGAGAATGGAAAGGGGAGGAGAAGAGAGGGCAAGAAGGAAGTGCAGTGAAAAGGCACGCTCAGCCGACCACTTCCATTGGCATGGATGCATGCAGTGGTGGGGCGCTGAGTCAATCGCTCACCTTCTCCCCCACTCCTCTCGCTCCACTCCCCCTTCTCCCCCCCGTTTACGTCCAGCAGATGGTCACCTCTGAGATCTGATCTGAGCGCCTTTCACCCCTTCTCACTCGGGGTGAGGCGCTGTGAAATGAAGTGAGCAGGTGGTAGTGCTTGCACGCTGAGGTTGCACTCTTGGCGTGACTCGTGCACGCATGCCCGCTTCCCCACTGCACTCATGAACCCACGCTGTTCCATGAGTGCCATGGTGACTTAGGACGGCAATGGGTCGTCCTTGCACTACTGTGCCCTGCACTCTCTCCTCTCCTCTCTCCTTTCCCTGCATTTTCTCACCCACACCCCAACTCTTTTCCTTGCATCCCTTGTCACGCCTTGAACCACCCGCGCTGCAGTGTGATCTCAGATGGGAGGGGGATTTGCGACTTCTAAGAAATGAAGATTTGAGATGTGTCAAATCAGGAAGTAATTAGTGGAATGGGGGGTTGTGCATGCGTGGGGCGGCAGTTACTTACTGCACCCACCATAAGGGGTACTTGCTTATTGGGTTCGTGACGATTCTCAAGTGGCCTTGTATCAATAGGTCAAAATACATCGTGGCGGTCCTAGCAAGGTGGGTTCCATCATTGGGGAACGCAACACCTAACCATCTCAGGTACCTCTATCTGTGCCATGCTGCGGTAACCGATGCTAGCCTACGCTATCATACTTGACACGCCTTTCCTCTCTCAAAACGCTGTGCCATTTTTATTGCAAGGGTGTGACAAATTCTGCATGGTGCATTTGGGAAGGTGAGTAAAAGAGGAGGTGGGAATGGTGAGGCGTGAGCATGGGTGAGTGGTGATGCTTCTCCCAGCGAAGCCAAGGTGTCTTGGGTCAAGGTGTCTTGGGGTCAAGGTGTCTTGGGGTCAAGGTGCCTTGGGGTCAAGGTGCCTTGGGGTCAAGGTGCCTTGGGGTCAAGGTGCCTTGGGGTCAAGGTGCCTTGGGGTCAAGGTGCCTTGGGGTCAAGGTGCCTTGGGGTCAAGGTGCCTTGGGGTCAAGGTGCATTGGGGCCAAGGTGCCTTGGGTCAACTAAACCTTGGGGTCAAGGCGCCTTGGGGTCAAGGTGCTGAATCTCCCGGAACCGCCCAGGTGAGTGTAGAGGCAAAGGTGAGGAGAGGCAAAGGTGAGGAGAGGCCAAGGTGAGTGTAGAGGCCAAGGTGAGTGTAGAGGCCAAGGTGAGTGTAGAGGCCAAGGTGAGTGTAGAGGCCAAGGTGAGTGTAGAGGCCAAGGTGAGTGTAGAGGCCAAGGTGAGTGTAGAGGCCAAGGTGAGTGTAGAGGCCAAGGTGAGTGTAGAGGCCAAGGTGAGTGTAGAGGCCAAGGTGAGTGTAGAGGCCAAGGTGAGTGTAGAGGCCAAGGTGAGTGTAGAGGCCAAGGTGAGTGTAGAGGCCAAGGTGAGGAGAGGCCAAGGTGAGTAGAGACTGGGGTGTTGGTGCTATCATGTATGCCACGGTAAGGAGGGGGATTGGGGTGTGCGTGTGTGGGAAGCAATGCTTGCAGCATTCCTGTGTTGGTGGCCACCCATGTGCAGACGCCGCCTGGCCGTGGTGAGTGCAGGCTGAGGTGGCTGCTGACTTAGGTGGGGTGTTGGTGCTATCAGGTAATGGAGAGGTGGGGCAGCAACACATGGGGGGGTGGGGAACCCATGAGCCGCTTGAAACGCATGGTGGTGCTGGCGAAACAGGCGCGGGGGGAGGGGTGGGGGAGACGGGGGAGGGGGAGAAGGGGAATGGGAAAGGAGGGGAGGATGGGGTGAGGGAACAGGAGAGTGTGGGGGATCAGGGCGGTGGGCGTGCGGATGATGGGGGTGGATGATGGGGGTGGATGATGGGGGTGGTGGGACTTAGGGCGATGGTGGGTGGGAGGTATAGAGGAGGCACGGGATGGTTGCAGTATGAGAGGCGTCAAGGGGGGGATGCCACACTCGTGGGGAGAGGCGAGGGGGGCTACAGAAAGAGAAGGGGGGAAGCCCACCAGGTGCCTGCACTGGTGGCTCGAATCGAACCCGTTGCAGGCGCGTGTGTGAGACTAGAGGGGAGTGCGCGACAGTTGCTGCACAGGCTGCTGCTTCTGTGCGCTTTTCCTGGTCGTTTCGTAGGCGAAGCTAATTACCCACGCGCCTAATTACTCACGCGCGACTTCGTGTGTGGCCGCGCTGCTGGCGTAGCACCCTCCAGCGTGCGCCTTGGTTATTTATTTCTGGTGTAGTTATTAGCGGCTTATTCTCCTTAGTGTGTGAGCATGGCAGGTGAGTTCGGTGACGGGAGCATCTCACCACATTTGTGACTCACAACCAACCCAACCCTGCTTCCCTCACAACACAAGTGCCTCAGGTTTTCGCCAATACTCTCGCTCCCCTCGTTTTTTTTCGTCTCGGCGAAATGGCCTTGGACATTATACAATAGCGCCAAATGTATACCGCTGCTTTAAGCCAAGGTACCTGCACAACCACAGTTTAGGCAGTTCCTTTCTGGTTATATACTGCTGGGACCAACTTTACTTGCTAACCTCGCATGGTGACATCACATGGTGACATCACATGGTAGCCTTACATGGTGACATCGCATGGTGACCGCACATGGACCATTCCTCACGAAAATCCCTGCTAGGCTTTGCCGTCACCATACTTCAAATTGTCTTCGTGCCTTTCCCACCCTCTCTTCTTCTCTGTGCAACTTCAAAAACACCTCCCATGTCTCCTCCCATCCGCGCCCGCCCTGCCAGGCTATAAACCGCCCGCGGTGCTGCGTGAATGCTGTGGAGATTCTGCACGGCGATGGGGCCGTGCTGGCCTTGCATCACCCTCTTCTTGCCTCTTTCTTGCATTGCATTGCCCTGCCAGGCATTGAACCGCTCGCACTGCCGGGTGAGTGCCGTGGCCATTGTGGACGACAACGGGGCGCACAGGCTGCTCAAGAGCGTGCTGGCGGAGGCAGAGCGGGAGAGACAGCTGTAGCTGGAGGGGCAGGCGTGGCAGGAGGGGCAGGTGGGGCAGGAAAACTCACTCCCAGAAGAACAGACAAGGCTTAACCGTGATGGTATGCAAGCATCAATCCCACCAGATGGTACTGCTGTGCGCCCAGTGCCGCCATGCTCCCACCACCCTTGCACTCCCACCACCCTTGCACTCCCACCACCATCTCACTCCCACCACCATCTCGCTCCCACCACCATCTCGCTCCCACCACCATCTCGCTCCCACCACGACTCCCTCTGCCATGCAAGGAAGATGGGTGGAGCAGCAAGAGGCCAAGGCAGCCAGGCTGCAGGCAAGACGCACTGCAGTCAGATGCAGAGTTCTGCTAGAAAAATTCCAACAACCCAATGGTGACACTTTGGGTTGTGTCTGTTTCCTTTGAGAAAATGTAAGAATATATAAAAATAATGTACTTGTTAACTACTTCATTGCAATCTATGTATTAGCTACCTTTGTACGCTTTGGATCACAGGCATTAGCATTTGCAGAAATAGTTTTTTGTTGTACTGCATTGCAAAGATCTACCTTGATACTTCAGTTCTTACCGTACATGTATATTTGGCGTACGGTAATATGTTTGTTTTGTTTCTGTAACCTTTAGCGAATTTGTTCCGAAGCGCTCAGGTCAGCTGGTTCGGCCTAGAAGCTCGTCCCAAACCACTACCGAGTCTCCACCGCACCTTTCGCAACACTTCTGTGTGAAGAAATGAGGAATGAATGAACTAGCAAGCAGGTGGGTACAAGTAGGAAAACCTAAAAGTGTTGTACCCCATATTGTCTACCCCACTACAGCCTACACAGACTATAGCATATGAGTTTGACACACCCCCATAGGCAAAGTGGGGGAGAACAAGAGGTCACAAGACCAGTCAAGCAAAACAAAGCAAGCTCAGGGTGGATCACAACGTCACCACACATTCCGAGCACATGTTCAAGGCCACAAGGCCAGTTCACATGCAAGATCATATATAAAGGTAAACAAGCAAGTGCAGGTATAGATAGATCACAGGACAAGCAAGGTCAAGAAGTGAGCAAGTGAGGCCAAGTAGGCACAAGACCTAGCATCGTACAGAAGCGCTGATGATCACAAGGCGGAAGTGCCTTGGTAAAGATATCAGCAGTGTTGGCCTCAGAGGCCACGTAAGCAAGGCGCAGCTGACCACGCTGCTGCAGCTCATGAGCAAGGAAGTAGCGAAGAGCAATGTGCTGCGTTCTGTGCTCCAGTCTCTGCTCCCGACACAAGGCCAGCATGGCCTTGTTGTCTACGTACAGAACTGGAGGAGAACGAGGCGGCTCTCCTAGGTCAGTCAGCAGGTAGGTGAGCCAGCGTAGCTCCTGTGCAGCCATGGCCCCCACGTAGATCTCAGCCTCACAGCTGGAGCCGAGAACAGAAGACGAGCGGGTAGACCGCCACGAAACAGAGCCGGAACCAAGGCTGAAGGTGTAACCCTGTGACGACCGCTGAGTAGCCTGGTCGTCAGCCCAAGAAGCGTCTGCGTGACCTGTGAGGAGCACTGGACGTCGCCCTCCAAGCACTAGCCCCATGCCCGACGTACTGCACAAGTAGCGCAACACCCTCTTCGCTGCAGCCATGTGCTCTGGTCGGTGTCTCCCAGGAGCAACATAGCGTGCCAAGATGCTAAGAGGGTATGCAAGGTCAGGTCGAGTGCAGGTCATCAGGTACATGAGGCAGCCAACAAGCTCTGGGTACGGGCCACTCGGCTCTACGGACTCATCCGAAGGCAGAGCTGAGAGCGAGTGGCGAGTAGACAGAGGAGTGGCCTGAGGCGAGGAGTACGTGAAGTCGAAGCGCTGAAGGACCTGCTGCACCATGTGTGACTGAGTCAGGGTGATGGTGCGCTGTGCTCTGTCCCAGGTGATCTGCAAGCCAAGGTAGCTGCGCAGTTCACCCAGGTCTGTGCACGTGTGTCTCTTCTGCAGCTCGGACTTCACGTGAGCTAGTCCAGCAGTGTCAGCAGTGGCAAAGACCAAGTCGTCGACGTACACGAGGATGTAGAACGGCGGCAAAGAGGTGTCGGTGCGCAGAAACAGCGACGGGTCGGCTGTAGAAGGAGCAAACCCAAGAGCCGCAAGTGTAGTCCTCAGTGTGTCGTGCCACTCACGGGGCGCCTGGCGGAGACCGTAGACTGGCCGCCGGAGGCTCCACTGGGTACCAAGGGGAAACGACCCAGTGAAGCCAGGTGGGCGGCGCAGCCAGATCTCCTCGTGCAGGCTGCCCTGCAAGAAAGCTGTGCTGAAGTCAAGAGAGTGAAGCTCGTAGTCGCGCTGAGCGGCTATGTGCAGCAGCACCCGAAGAGTGGTCATCTTCGGGGTGGGAGAGAAGGTCTGAAAGTAGTCAACTCCCTGCCGCTGACTGAAGCCTCGAGCCACGTAACGCGCCTTGAAGACAGGCGGAGAACCCGGCGGCCGCTTCACCCTGAAAATCCACATGCCACTGACGATGTTCGCCCCAGGTGGGGGAACCTCGTCGACGTAGGTGCGTGTGGACTTCCAGGAAGCCATCTCTGCGTCCATGGCTGACTGCCACTGTGAGGAGTAGGGACCCTCGATCGCCTCAGCGTACGATCGAGGAGTCGGGATGTCTGGTGCTTCCGGGTCTCCCTCAGGGGCAATCAGCGTGGACACGAGATGAGGCAAAGCAGCAGCAAAACACTGGAACTCCTCCTGCCTGTCCTCAAGGACGTCCGTGCTAAGAGCACACTCACCCCCGACGGACGGAGGACAGACAGACTCAGACTCAGCAACAAGACTAGCAGCGTAGTCTAGACGACAGCGAGGAGCAAAGTCGACAAGCTCAGCAACTAAGGCAGACGCAGCAGTGGACTCAAAGGAAGGGTCAGTGACAACAGTAGCCAGGAGACGCGTGACAGTAGGACTGGCAGCACGAAGAGAGTCAGACTCCGGGTCAGCAAGAGTAGGAAGAGAGGACTCTGGAGGAGACGGCAACGGGACACGCAGAGGAGCAGTGGAAGGACGCAGTGCCATCTGGTGAGTGCCTGGGACCGCAGGAGGACGCGGACGCGGAACACGACTACTAGTGCGAGCAGCACGAACAGGCGACGCAGGACGAGACGCAGGCTCACGACGCTCAGCAAGACCTCCAGTAGGACCAGTGTAGGGAGAAGGAGCAGGCAGAGGGGAGGCGGGCTGTAACTGTGACCGCGACTGGACAGGCTGTGGACACTCGAAGGGAGGAGCAGGACCAGTAGAGGGCGGGAGAACAAGAACCTGCTCAAGGAGCGGAACGAAGTACGGCCGCAGCCGCGCAGCGCCTCCAGAACCAGCAGGGACAGCACCAGTACCCCCAGCGGCAGCACCAGCGCCAGCAGCACCTCCAGCTCCAGCAGCGCCAACTCCAGCACCCTCAGAAGCACCAGCACCAACACCCCCAGCAGCTCCAGCTCCAGCAACTCCAGTAGCACCTACTCCAGCAGGGCCGCCAGCTCCAGCACCACCAGGAGCTCCAGCACTAGGAGCACCTCCAGGCCCAGCAACTCCAGTCCCCCCAGCAGTACCAGCAGCTCTAGTACCTCCAGCAGCACCAACTCCAGCAGACCCAGCAGCACCTCCAGTCCCAGCAGCTCCAGTACCGCCAGTACGAGCACCTCCAGGACCAGTGGCTCCAGGACCTCCAGCGCCGACCCCAGGGTCAGCAGCAACAGTAGCTCCAGGACCTCCAGCTCCAGCAGCACGGCTCCAGCGCCGGGCAAACCACTCGCGCAGCTCCTGTGGAGAGGGTAGCTCCCGCCGAGACGAAGCACCCGAAGGGCCCCAAGACCCAGCACCGCCAGAGGCCACACGAGTAGACCCAGCACCCCCAGGCTCCGCACCCCCAGACTCAGCACCCCCAGGCTCCGCACCCCCAGGCTCCGCACCCCCAGGCTCAGTACCCCCAGGCTCAGCACCCCCAGACTCAGCACCCCCAGGCTCAGCACCCCCAGGCTCAGCACCCCCAGGCTCAGCACCCCTAGCAGCACCAGAGTCAACAGCTACCTTGACAGGCTCGACTGCGTCTACCTGGGACACACCTGACGGGGCAGGACCCTGAGGGGGGAGAGGGTCTACCGGGGGTCGACCTGGCGCAAGGAAGAGCGGCGGCGGGGGGAGGGGCGCAGTGCGGTAGGGGAAGAGACGGTAGTAAGGCACCGACTCGTCAAAGGTGACGTCCTGGGAGGACAGAACACGGCGCGAGGTGGGGTGGTAAAACTGCCAACCAGGCGCGTCAGGGGGGAAGCCAAGGAAGACGCAGGGAACAGCACGGGGGGACAGCTTGTCCGCAGACAAGTCGCGGACAAACGCCCGAGATCCCCAGACACGAAACGCAGACGCATCGCCAACCTTCCCCGTCCACCGCAAGGTGGGGGAGGTCTCTGGCAAGGAGACCCGGGGCTGAAGGTTGATCTAATGCGCCGCGTACTGAACCGCGAACGGCCACAGAAAATGGGGAGCAGCCGCATGGATCATGGACGTACGAGCGACGTCCATGACCATGCCAATGCGGCGCTCAGCAATCCCATTTTGCTGTGGAGAGGCCGGAAGCGTGAACATCTGGCGGATGCCCTGTGCACGACAGAAGGCTCGCAGAAGGTCAGAGGAAAACTCACCTCCTCTGTCGGAGTGCAGACGCAGGACAGGAAAGCCCGAGCCGAAACTCTCTCTGAGCTGGAGACGAGCTGCGCGGATCCAGTCGATCAACACCTCAGTGACCTCACCCTTGCTGCGCAAGGGGAAGACTGTGGTGTAACGCGAGTAGTCGTCAACCACCAGCAGGAATTAACGCTCGTGACCCTGTCCACGGATGCGGGCTGGGCCCCACACGTCCATGGGAAGCGTCTGCAGCGGAGCCTCTGTCGGAGGAAACTCGGAGGAGTGAGGAGCGGCGCGCTGCCGCCCCTCGACGCAGGGAACGCAGGTGGGGGCAGGCCCCGGAGGAAGAGAAGGGAGGGAACGGGGGAGACCCGAGACAAGGAAACGAGAGGCCATGCCTCGGAGACGAGGCAGGGAGGGGTGACCAAGGCGGTGGTGCCAGAGG